CTATGCCACGTGGCAGGGAGCATGAGGGCTGGGCGGGACCAGGTGTGCTTCCGAGGTGTACCCCTCAGGGGGTTTGGAGGTCTCTCTCTCTCTCCTCTCGTTCACCTCGTCTGTGTCCTTGAAGATTTTCATGTGCCCGCAGGGGCCTCCCCCATGAGCCTGTCCTCAGGGTCCATGCTGGGAATCACACTGCCCTGCACTCCTGTGGGTCCCTGCCGACCTCATGAGCAGCTCCGAAGTGCCCCTTCCTGGAAACCTCTGTGAAGCCCCAGCGGAGACAGGCTTCTCTGGGCGGCGGGCTGGCCACGTTCACCTGTTCCCATTTCTGCCTCTCTGGGGCGGCTCGAAGACCCGTCCACTAATCCTTCCACACTGCCCTCTTCCAAAGTCCCCTCTCACCGAGCCTAGGCTGGAATGTCCGGGTCACCTCCAGGGAATAGAAAGCAGCAGGAAGGGGCACCTGGGTGGCTCAGTGGGTTAAAGCCTCTGCCTTCAGCTCAGGTCATGATCCCAGGGTCCTGGGATCGAGCCCCACATCGGGCTCTCTGCTCAGTGGGGAGCCTGCTTCCCCTCTCTCTCTGCCTGCCTCTCTGCCTACTTGTGATCTCTGTCTGTCAAATGAATAAATAAAATCTTAAAAAAAAAAAAGCAGTAGGAATGACCGCATGTCACTTCTGAGGCATCATGGCCACCCCCTGCCTCCCCATCTTCGATCTCCAACTCTGGGGGGGATGTTGGGAGCCACGTCGGGAGTCGTCCTATGGAGAGGCCCAAGGGTAGAGGGCCAGCGACACCCGCCTCCGAAGGTGGGTGCATGCTCACTCCCCGCCTGCCTGGGGCCATTTGGTCTGCAGCCACCCACGGGGCATCACAGAGATCCCAGCGGAACATGGCAGGGCCGAGCCCAGAGGCGACGCTCTCGTCTCCTGTCCCGTTTTATAGATGGAGAAACCGTGACTCAGGGCAAGGTGGCTTGCTCCCGGTCACAGAGTGACTGGGTGAGAACCAGGGCTCTCCTGATCTTGGAGCCCCGTTTCCTGGAAATGCCAGGGCTGCTAGTCTCTGGAGCCAGCCTGGGTCCCCAAGCCCACTCGGGGGCTCCTGGCCCATGTCCGTTGCCGGGAAATCCCACTGCCCTTCCTCGACCTCTCCAAATCCTACCCCAAAGTATGTGAAAATGAAAGATAGATCGGGTATCTTTGACTCGGCCGTCTCCCTCCTAGAGTGTACCCCATGGAAACAAGGTGAGGGAAGACCTCAAAGCAGGCCTGTGGGAGGACTTTCTGTTCTGAGCTGGAAACGAGCCAACTTCTATCAGTCGTGAATTAAATCACTGTGGCGACACGTGGCGCGCTGACGGCCTGCCAGGCTTGGCTCCCAAGGCTTTCCAGACGCTGACCCCTCAGGACTCCCATAGCTGGACGGCAGTGGGTGGTGGAATCCCCGCTTCACAGGTGAGGACCCTGAGGCCTAGGTTCCCGGTTCCCTGCCCGTGAGGACGGGCAGGACCAGGACCAAGCCTGGGTCAGCCTCTGTCCCCGCCCCCCCGGCCAACCCTCAGCCACACCTCAGGACATGCACAATGGGGAAGTTCTCGGAGCCATGGTGGGCAAGGTGTCCCAGGCACGTCGGTAACAGAAAGAAGCAAACCACAAAATGACAGTGAAAAAGGAAATGTGTGGGGCGTCTGGTGGGTTCAGTCAGTTGAGCATCTGACCTTGCTTTCGGCTCAGGTCGTGATCTTGGGACGGTGAGATCAAACCCAGTGCTGGGCTCTGGGCTGGCGTGGAGTCTGCTTGAGATTCTCTTTCTCTCTCTGCCCCTCCCCCTCCCCAAACAAAGTAAAACAAAAAACAAAACAAAAAAACGACAAAAAAGATAATGTTTACGTTTGCCTGCCTTTGACTAGAAAGTAGGACCCAGACCTGAACTGTGAGGCGTTTGCTTTGTGTGCTCCCTCTCATCAGTCTGGATTTAAAAAAAAAGAAAAAAAATAGGGGCGCCTGCGTGGCTCAGTTGGTTAAGTGGCTGCCTTCAGCTCGGGTCATGATCCCAGGGTCCTGGGACTGAGACCTGCATCGGGCTCCCTGCTCCGTGGAGACCCTGCTTCTCCCTCTCCCTCTGCTGCTCTGCCTACTTGTGCTCTCTATCTCTCTGTCAAATAAATAAATAAAATCTTTTAAAAATTTTTAAAAAATAAAAAAAATAACTTAGAGTTATAGTTTTTCTTATCAAATGTAAAAATTCATTTTGGAATGTGTCTGGCCCCTTGACAGGCAAGTCCTTGTGCCCGGTAGGGTCAGCGCCACCCCTTGTTCCCAGAGCCCTTTGTGGTGGCCCAGGCTGGGTCTTCCTGTGCGATGTCTGCCTCCTCCTGGAAGACCAGCCCCGGGGGTGGGGGGGGGCCGCACTCGGAGGGGTTCTGGTGTTGGTGGAGGAAGGCCTAAAGCCAGCCTTGGTGCTGACCAGTAAAGCTGCTCGTGGAGAGGAGTGGCCCCGGAAGGTTCCCTTGGACTCTGCCTTCTGCTCTCTGCCCAGCACCCAGAGAGGTAACGCTACGGGCCCAAGGCCACCCATCTGGGAGAGGCGGAACCTGGAGCCAAACCCAGGCTTGGGGGGCCCCGCCTGAGCTCTCCCCCAGACCATGTGGGCCTCTCTGCGGCCAAGACCCCTGCCTGCCCAGCCACCAACGGCCTCTTTGCCACCTCCTGTGTCAGCTCAAGCCAGGGACGGGCAGGTTTCCCCCGACTCTGGTCATTCATTTGTATTTTCCACCATCAGTCCACTCACCCCCCACCCCGCCACCCCATCCATTCATCTGTCCATCCTGCAGTCCCTCTGTCTGTCTGTCCATCCCTCCATCTACCTATCCCTCCACCCACTCACCCCCCCAAGCCGTCCATCATCTGTCCACCCATTCATCCGCCCTTCTGTCCTCCCATCTGTCCATCCATCCATCTGTCCGCCCGTCCGTCCACCGGCTTGTTTCCCCCGCCAGCATGCCCGTGCCGGGTGCTGTGGGCTCAGAGACGGGTCTGGCACGGCCCTCCCTGCCCAAAGCTCACAGCAGGCTGGGGAGTTGCCGCCCCAAAGGGCGAGGTGGCAAGTTTTCCAGGTTGGCTGAGGAGAAGGGTGAAGTTTGGGCACGTTTGTCCGGGAGACAAAGGGCGGGTGATACTTGGCGGCAGTGACAGGGGAAAACACACTTGTCCCCTGTGTCACTGTCTTGGGCTACCCCTCCCCCACTCACTCCTTGTCTCCTCCCTCCTCTGCCTCTGTCCTTGGCTGCTGTTTTCCGTCTCTGTGCCTTCCTCACCTCATCTCTTGGTGTCTGTCTCCCGAGAATGTAAGAGCCACGAGGCAGCGACTCCTGTCTTGCTGTGGTCTCAGAGCTGGGCTTTGAATGCCAACAGTCCGGGCGGGACGCCTGAGTGGCTCAGCTGGTGAGCCGTCGGCCTTCGGGTCAGGTCGTGATCCCAGGGTCCTGGGATCAAGTCCTGCATCGGGCTCCCTGCTCAGCCCGGAGCCTGCTTGTCCCTCTGCCTGCTGTGTTCGTGCTCTCTCTCTCTCTCTCAGTCTGATAGATAAATAAATAAAATCTTTGAATGCAAACAGCCTGGTTCCCAAGCGATGGTGAGGCTGGACATCCGAACACAGCTTGTGTGGATTCCATCCTGCCCTTTGCCCTCTGACATGGCCGCCGCCACTGCCAGCCTGTCCCCCCTTCACCCTGCAGTGGCCAGGCAGGCAGGGATGGGGCTGCCTATCCGTCAGCACCCAGCCCGTTCAAGGCCGGCCTGCGTCCACCCGTCAGAACACGAGAAAACAGGCAGACACACAGTCCCTGACCCGAGGGCCACCTGGATGAGGCGGTCTGAACCCTGGATCCCTCCACTCTGGTCCCGCCAGCTTTCTGGCTAGCAGGACACTCACTCTGTGTGGCCCTGGGCACGTGCACAGCCTCCTTAAGCCTGAGGGCCCCTGCGGCCACCTTGCAGCGTTGCCCTATGGCTCATATGGGAGAATGTGCTGAGCCCCTGGGAGGGCCCACTGGGTGACGGCCATGGGGACAAAGCTCATGGGCATCAGGGCCTGGCCCTCGGCATCAGAGAGGGGCTGGTCATTCCAGAGTATCTGGTGATCACATCCGGCCCCGTCACCTGCATGGCCTTGGACAAATCCCCTTTCTGGGCCTCAGTGGTTCCATCTGTAAAATGGGGACCATCAGCCCCACCTCCCCTTCAGGAGCGCCCTGGCTTCGTGAGAGGCCCAGTCAGCAACGTGGCCGCTGGTCCCTAGCAGTGGGTCCCGCAGGGCTTGGGGCCCTCAGGGTTTGGTCAGTGCTGAGTGCTGGGGGCTGAGCAGAGGTAGATCTGGTGGGGCTGGGGGAACGGGAAACCAATGTGGGTACACACGGAGAGCGTGGGGTCAGGGCACTGTGAAGGGCGCGGGGCAGACGCCGGCTGGGACCCGTGTTTGCTCGTGCTGGCTTCCCGGGCTCGCCCCGACTCCCTCCTGCCCGCCAAGACTCCTGAGGATGGCTGTTCCTCCTCGGGGCAGCCCCAGCTCTGATGGTGTCTGCTGAGTGAGTAGGATGGAGCTTCAAGGGCTGCTGGGGAGGCCCGAAGATCCAGTGAAGGCCTGAACTTGGGCTTGGAGGGACAGGGGCACCACAGCCCCATCCTCAGACCTCCCCGGAGGTGTCTGCACCTGGCCCCGGGGCCCAGCCCTGCAGGCAGAGTGAGCCTTGCCACCTCCGGCGGCCTCTCGAATACTTCCCTGACCCCTGGGTCCCCAGGGCACTGGGACAAGGGTCCTTTGGGGGGTGTGTGTGGGAGGGAGTCCAGCTGCCCAGTGCCTGGGTCTGGGCATTGACCCGCAGGGCCTCTGCCTTCGAGGCCACTGGTCAGCAGGCTCCCGTCTCCTGTCCCTCCCCCAGCCCCGGCTATTTAAGACCCACCAGCAGCTGGCGAGTTGGTCGAGGCCACCCGGGTGGTGGCAGACCGCTGTCAGGCAGGCAGACCCAGGGCCTTTCCCAGCACAGAGCTGTCAATGGATTTTGTGGCTGGAGCCATCGGAGGTAATGGACATGGAGGGGCTTGGGGGGGGCGGGGGATCAGGAGGCGTGGGGAAGTGCTGGGCCTTGGCAGCAGACCCTCCCGTGGCAGTGGCAGTGGGGTGTCAGGTGCTCTGGAAGTGGTTGCTCCCTGGTGTGGGCCGCCCGTGCTAGGGGGCGGCACGGGGGGGGGAGGTGAGTCTGCACAGCCCGGCTCTCTCAGCCTGCGGCCCTCAGGCGGGGATGGGGGTGCACAGAGGGTGGTCTCCGCTCAGGCAGGGGGGGCTGGGGGGGAGGCTCACAGCCATCAGTGTGGGGAGGAATGGCCCAGCTGTGGGAAGGAACTCGGGGGGGGGGGGGGGGGGGGGGGGGACGGGGAGGACAAACGGGCCGGGATCCGGAAATGCAGACTGCGGGGGGGGGGCGGGGAGGGGGAGAGGCCCTGCGGAGCCCTGGCCAAACCCGCAGGCTGGTTTGCGTGCTGTCCCCGCCTATTGGCCTCCCAAACTATTTTACCTTCTGGGGAAATGGCTGGTTACAAAAGACAGATCCAGAGAGATAACAGCCCATTGGGAAACAGGTGGGGGACGGTCTGCCCCCACCCCCGACCCTCCGTCCTGCAGGCGGGAGCCTATTTTGGGCGAGGCACCCTTGGCCTTGCCCTGTCTTGTGAAACAGCAAGGGTGCTGGTCGATACTTCTGGGAATGGTGTAGGGTGTCCTCCTCCCTCAGGCGGGGAGGGCAGTGCTGACCCTGGACAGGCTGGAGCCCCGGGTCTCTGGTGACATTTCTGAGGTGTGACTATGTGCCTGGCCTAAGACCAGCTGCTTCCCTGCATGTTAGCCCCTAAGGAGGGGGCTCAGAGAAGGAAGGGGCTTGACTTGACCAAGATCACAAAGCCAGGAAGGGCTCTCGAAGACCTGGGTCTTGTCCTTGTGGAGGACAGACATGGCATGCGTGGGACAGCAGCAAAACCACGTGATTGGGGCTGTGATCAATATGTTTTGTTTTGTTTTTATTTACGTGGCGCCTGGGTGGCTCAGTGGGTTAAAGCCTCTGCCTCCGGCTCAGGTCGTGATCCCAGGGTCCTGGGATCGAGCCCCGCATCGGGCTTTCTGCTTAGCGGGAAGCCTGCTTCCTCCTCTCTCTCTGCCTACTTGTGATCTCTGCCTGTCAAATAAATAAATAAATCTTAAAAAAAAAAAAAGATTTTATTTATTATTTATTTGACAGACAGAGATCACAAGTAGGCAGAGAGAGAGGAGGAAGCAGGCTCCCTACTGAGCAGAGAGCCTGATGTGGGGCTCGATCCCAGGACCCTGAGATCATGACCTGAGCCGAAGGCAGAGGCTTTAACCCACTGAGCCACCCAGGCACCCAGGCACCCCCATGATCAATATGTTTAATGACACAGAGGCAGCCCAGATTCAGGGGTCAGGAGGGCTCCAGAGAGGAGGTGAAGCTGTGCTGGGGCTTTGATGAGTGAGTAGGAGTTCGGTGGGGTCTCTTCGAGAGTCAAGGAGGATAATTCTAATCAAGTCATTCAGTCAGTCCTTTGTTCATTTCCTCACACTGGTTCATTCATTCATGCACACATACTGAGTCCTGGGATGCTTAGTAAATAGGGCAGAGCCCCCAAGTGCCTGTCCCCAGGTGGCCCTCACCACCCCTCGCCCCCAGGCTACGTAACCCCAAGGCTCTGTGGGTCTCTGGCTTCCCCATGGCAGTGCTGGGGGCTTGGACATTGAGGCTCTGGCGAAAAGAGAAAGGATGTTGGCACCTGGCCCTTTGCAGGGAGATGGCCCTGGTCTAGAAAGCCTCACGTCCCACTCTGTTCCACGCAGACTTGTGGTTCCAGGCAGTCCTTCGCAGAGCCCTGGGTGACCAGGGATTTCCCACCTCCTGGCCTTTGTTGGGTCTGTGCCCTTCTTCTACATACACAGCCCGCAGGTGAAGCGCAGACAGACACTTCAAGGCTTGAGGACAGGAAATGCCTGGCTTGGAGACAGGGCCCGGCAGGTGTCGAAATGCCTCCCTGGCTGTTGGAATGAGGCATCGCCAGGCCAAGACACAGAAGGAGAAATTGCTGGCGGCTTGGCTGAGCCTCAGTTGCCTTCTCTGCATCAGTGTGCTCAGGGCTGATGAGACACGGCGTGGACGGGGAGCGTGTGTCCAGGCTTGGCGGGAGCTGGTCGGGGCTCACCCTCACCTCCTTCCATGAGACAAGGTCGGGCTGTTGCTGCTCCTCACCCGGTCCCTCTGATTTCCTTCCAGGTGTCTGCGGTGTTGCTGTGGGCTACCCCCTGGACACGGTGAAGGTATGGCAATGGCCAGGCCTCCACCGCCCACCCTAAGGCCCCTGGCTGGGATTAGGCTGCCCTCCCAGTCTCCTGCATCCATCCGTGGCCAGGAGACCTTTCTGGCCGGCTGATCAGACCAGCCCTCCCCATGCTCCCCGGGACTACATCAGCCCCTCTTCTCACCTGCGTGTCAGGGTTCTTGTCTTACGCGGGCTCCCGGTCCTTGCCCTGCCCGCGGTCCGCCAACACGCCTCTGACAATCAAGGCATTGGCTTGTCCCCTCCCCCAGGCCTACTGACCTTGCTGTCGGCCTGAAGCCACCCCTTCCTGAAGTCTGCTTCTCTCACAGGTCAAGATCCAGACAGAGCCCAGGTATAGGGGCATCTGGCACTGCGTCTGGGACACGTATCGCCGAGAGCGGGTAGGCCGGGGCCCGTGGTAATGGGCAAGAGGATGTCAGGGCCTCGGCCCCAGGCCTGCCACTCCCAATGAGCCAGCCCTGTCCGAGCTCAGCTCTGTCACCTTCCAAATGGGAGGGATTGTACCAAGCTGCTGGGTTTCTCTGAGGATGAGAGCCATGTGTCCAGCACATAGGAGGTGTCCAGAATGAGGTCCTGCCTTCAGGAGAGGGTCCACGGGTGGCATCTGGGGACTTGGGGGTCAGGGAAGGACCCTGAGTGTTTGTATTTCTGTCCCCTCCAGGCTGGGCACCCCTTGAACGCCATGGTGGGTGACACTGTTAGTTGTCCCATGTCCAGCTCAGAGCCCAGTCCAGAGGAGGGACTCAGGGATACTTAGCAACGTGAACTTGGGGCTCGATGTGGGCCAGGGGTGAGCGGATGAGAAAACAGCAACAGTAAAGCACGCTACTCAACGTCATCTTCATCATCAAATAGCTGTCCTAGGTCCAGCCTGGCCATCTGTCGCTTCAGTCCCTCACATCACCTGGAGAGTGGGGTGTTATGATTCCCAGTTTAGGTCACAGAGCCTTGGCTGTGAGAGATGGGCCTGAGGTCCCACGGTCAGGGAGGCCAGGGCAGGGCTGACACATGGCCCACTCGGCCTGGGGCCCCGGGGTGGCCCTCTTCCTGGCTGGGCCTCTGGCCTGACTAGGGCCCTCGGGTCTGGTCTGTCTGCCCACCAGGTGTGGGGCTTCTACCGAGGCCTCTCGCTGCCTGTGTGCACCGTGTCCCTGGTCTCGTCCGTGTCTTTTGGCACCTACCGCCACTGCCTGGCACGCATCTGCCGCTTTCGCTATGGCAGCCCCGATGCAAAGCCCGCCAAGACTGACATCACACTGTCCGGATTTGCCTCTGGCCTGGTCCGCGTGAGTGGGGTGGGGGGCGGGGCCCCTCAGGACTGCGGGGTCCGGCGAGGCTGAGAGAGCCACCCAGGAGGCCACCCGGCCCCGCAGCGGGGGAACCCAGGCTTGGGGCAGGGCAGAGACTGGATGAGGGCCGGGGGTGGCGGGTGAGGGCCCAGCTGATTCTCGTTAGCTCGGCGACCTTGGGCGACCTTGGGCGACCTTGGGCGCACCAGGGAGCCTCTCTGAGCTTTTGTCTCTTCACCAGTACGAGGCGCGGTGAAGCTCCTGGAAGGTTCTCAGTGGAGAGCCCCCGGGACGGAGTCAGGTATGGGGGCCCACAGAGCGGTAGCCAGTATTGTCAGTACTATGTCGCTCACTCATGTCCTACGGTACCGAGTACTGTCCTGACGACTGCTGCTAATGACGTGGTACACGGATGTGCGCCGCCTGTTAACTACGTGATAGATACTCCACGAACCCGTCACAGGCATCTACCCAACACCTCTTGCGTGTCCGGCCATCCCAAAGCAGAAGTGGAGCTTTGAACCCCACGGCTCTGGGCCCGGTGGGCCAGCCCGGAGGGGCCCCCGGGGGCGGGGCCGTGGGGGCACGAAGCCCAGCAGGGTGCAGGCAGTGTGGGGGGCGCCTCCTTACCCGCCTCCTACCGCGGCAGGTGTTCCTGACCTCGCCCACCGAGGTGGCCAAGGTCCGCCTGCAGACGCAGACGCAGACGCAGAGGCAGCAGCGGCGCCCTTCCGCCTCGTGGCCCTCGGCTGCGCCCCCGCTGTGTCCCGCGCCCCCTGCCGGTTCCGGGCCCAAGTACCGAGGGCCACTGCACTGTCTGGCCACGGTGGCCCGCGAAGAGGGGCTGCGGGGTCTCTACAAGGGCAGCTCGGCCCTGCTCTTGCGCGACGGCCACTCCTTCGCCACTTACTTCCTGTCCTACACCATCCTCTGCGAGCAGCTCACGCCCGCTGGCCACAGCCAGCCAGGTGAGGGGGCCCGGGGCCTGGCAGGCGGGGTGGGGCCCAGCACAGTGGGCCTTGGAGCTGGGGGGAGGTCGTGTGGATGCGCTCGGGCCAAACACGGGTGCTGCGGAGCTCCTCACCAGGGGTGGGAACGTCCGTGCCCTCCAGCCCAGGAGTGGGACAGACCTGTAGTGTGTCTTCACATGTCAGGGGCGTGACATGCGTCCCCATTCCGGGGACCCCCCCATGTCCCCGGCTGGCTGGCGGGGGGGTTGAGGCAGTCGCGGCTCTCTCCCTGCAGATGTGTTGGGCGTGCTGGTGGCCGGGGGCTGTGCTGGGGTCCTGGCCTGGGCCGTGGCCACCCCCATGGACGTGATCAAGTCACGCCTGCAGGCGGACGGGCAGGGCCAGAGGCGCTACCGGGGCCTCCTGCACTGCGTGGTGACCAGCGTGCGTGAAGAGGGGCCGCGGGTCCTCTTCAAGGGGCTGACGCTCAACTGCTGTCGTGCCTTCCCCGTCAACATGGTGGTCTTTGTCGCCTACGAAGCCGCGCTTCGGCTCATCCGGGGCCTGACCGCGTAGCCAGTCCCGATGCCCCTGGGGCCGACCCGCTGCAGCTTCTTGAGGTCCTGGGGGCTGGAGGAGGCGCAGGAGAGTCTTGGGGTCTGGGCCCACGGAGCCGCCGCCCAGGACAGTCCGAGCCTCCCTGGAGCCCGAGTCACTGTGCTTGGGGCTACAGGACCACAGGGAGTCTGAGGGGCCCATCTGCCAGCAGCCTGGGGTTGGCATGAGGGTCATATGGCCAGGGAGGAGTGGGCCTCTTGGATGAGGACATCCGTCCCATGGAGTCGCTGGAGCACGTCATCGGAGTTCCAGCTTCCTGGTCATCCCTCCCTGCTGCCCGCGTCTTCGGAGCAGGCCTGTGCCTCCATCCAGTCCTCTGCTGTCCCCTGGCCACCCTCCCTGCGGGGTCCCCACGCAGCTCTCCTCGGCTGTTTGGTGAGCTCTAGGGCACCTGCCCGCTTGCTCCCCACACCGGGCTGCTCAGAGAGGGCGCTGACCGGACGGCCACAGCCAGACCTGCTCCTGCACCCTTGCCCTCTGGGAGATCCCGGAGACTGAGCAGGGAGCTGTTGATAATAAAACGTCTTTGGGCCTGCTCGGTGCTGCTGCTCCGTGGTCTGTGGGGCGGGCGATCTGCTTGTCCTCAGAGGCCCAGCCCTCCAGACCTGTATGGCCAGTGTTCCCACAACGCGGATGGGCACACGGAGGCCCAGCACTCTGGCTGGCTCCACTCCCTTGGCCTTTGGGGCGCTGAGCCCGGCCACGGGAGGCCACTCAGCCTTCAGCATGAGGCTTGCTCTCCTCACTACCACCACCCCAAACCCACCCCCTTTTGGCCCCTCCGCTGCCTGGATAATTGGCTGTGAGCCACCTTTCCACAGGGGCCTGGAGGAGGGGTCAGGGAGGGGGTGGCAGGTCCTACATGGGTCATCACAATAATCCGACACCGTGGAGCAAACAGCTCAGAGAGGGAGCTGGGCCTGCCCACCGTGGCGGGGGTAGGGGCGGACTCGCGCCCGCATTTCTGGAATCCTCCTGTCCGCACCACGCGGCTTCCAGTCATGGGGGGCTATCAGGGGTCAGGGCTCTGGTAAAGCCGGCCAACACCTGCCTCGATTACCCTCACTCACAGACCCTGGCCTTGAGCATGTCTTTGGACCGAAGGACCTCTTGTGTTCTGGAAGCTTTTTCCCGGTTCTCCTCCCGTCCCAGTCCGCTTCCGTCATACTGACCCAAGCATTTGCTTACACCCAGTGCTCTCCGCCAGGAACACCCTTTCCCCAGGCATCACCTCCTTCAGGAAGCTCTCCCAGCCCGACCACGGGGCTGCTTTTTAGGCTCCCACGGGGTCCTGGCTCCTTGGTCACTCATCTACCCCTACCCACCACCCCGCTCCACCCACAACTGACTCGGACTCTGTCCAGTACAGGGTCTGGAGCACGGCAGGTGCTCACCGGGTGTGGAATGAGGAAGTCCTGCCCTGGATTCCAGGAAGTTCATCTGGCTTCGAGTGAAAGATGCTGGCGTTCTAGCCAGGTGCTGGGGAAAGGCTACCTACCAACTAACAAAAGGTTGATAATTCATCAAAACCCTGACCCCATGTCTGCTTCTGCCAAGAAGACCTCTAGTACCGTTTGCTTTAGCCTGGGAAGAATTACTGGCAGTACTCCAGGCTCTGCCAGTGTGCCAGTCACCAGGGGGTAGTGGGGACTGGGTCATTGAGCCGTTGGCCCCACCCACGTTAGCAAAATGGCTTTGCAGGAAGGCCTGGTCCCAGGTCCTCATGCTCTCTAGGTGACAAGGCCCTTTGCAGAGCTGACCCAGCCCCTTCTTTTAGAAATGGAGACGAGAAGGTGGGCCCAGCTGGGTCTTCCCATTAACCATGGTCACCTTAATGGAGTTTGGGCTGCACCTGAAATTTCAAGTGGGAGACCAAGGGTGGTGTCCCCAGGGCTCCCACAGCGGACCGGAGAATTGTGGGCCTCTGGGAAGGGCCAAGGCGCACAGAACTCCCTGGGAGAGCTCATCTATCAGATGGCAGGGAGCCTCCTTCCTTGTTCTCGTCCTGGACTGTGAGCTCCCTGCTCCCCACTGTGCCCCGTCCCCAGCCCCAGCTCAGCTGCGATCCCAGGCTGGTGGAACTCCTCTGGCAGGAGTCCCCACACCATGAGGGCTGCGAACTGACCTCGTGCCAGCAACAGCCGGGCTGTTGCATCTGTCTGTCCTAACCCAGGGGGTCCCCTTAGAACCTGCTTTTTTAGAAAACTGTGGTGGTGGGAGGAGCTGTGGCCCTTGCCAGCAGTGACAAGGTAGAGGTCACCTGACCTCTAACCCGGGGCACTGTCTCAAGACCCCAGCATGAGGTATGGTGGGGGTGGGGGTCCCCAGAGGTTAAGTGGCCTGCCCAAAGTCACGTAGCGTGTGCAGGGAGGGGCGGCCCAATGGTGATGTGCTCTCCTACCCTCGTTTTATCCATTCAGTGCACCTGTGACATAGGTGCAACTGAGCGACAACATGTAACTTAGCCATGGAGGGCTGCAGCCAGCCAGGTTGAGGGGACTGGGGGCTCTGGCCGGGGGTGGGGGCGCTGCTGAGGCCGGGGAAGGACCCTCAGCGCCCTCCTTTGTGCAACGGGCCCTCTGTGCATGTGGACACAGCAAATAAGAAGCAGGACAGGCCTGTCTGTCACAAACTCACTGGGTGGCCTTGGACAAGCCACACTGCCTCTCTCAAGTGTCAGTTTCCTCACCTGGAAGTGAGCTTGGGCAGGAAGAGGGAGCCCGGGGCTCCATCCCTGCAAGGCCTGAGGCAGACAGGCGGCTCCCGCACCAGCCACACTGCCCAGCCCATGGCCGTGCCCCGCGACATCCCTGCTGGGCGGCTGGAGGCGTCCCATGAGCTGTGACAGCCAGCAGCAGGGCGCTTGCCAAGGGCTAGAAGGCAGACAGGCTACCTCCCAGCGGATTCCTGGGAGCCTGCACCTCGGGGCCACGGAGGCTTCCAGGCTGTCTCCACTCCATGTCCCCTCTGGGTAACCCTGTGGACGCGAGGGCCACCCTTGGAACAGCTGCCGCACTTGGCGGCAGCCCCGCCCTGGGCCCAAAGCAGGCTTGGTCCCTCCTTGAAGCCCAGACAGACAGAGCACAGTGACACAGGTAGGACCGAAGGAAGTTTATTCACGCCAACGAGCGGCATGAGGGAGTGGACCCTGCACCTCCAGAAAGCAGAGACCCCTCAAGCCTGGGCCTTCCCTGAGACAGGTCTTCCGCTTTTCCAAACTACACAGGGTGCACGGTTTACCAAGCCTCCCGGGGACAGGCCGCTCGGGGCCTGGAGGGCTGCCGCGCTTTCTAGCTACGTCCACCTGGCCCGGGCCACTGCTCTGTGCAGAGAGACTTCCACGCCAGTCAAGTGTCAAAACAAAAGCATCTGCAAAGACAACAGAGCCCTCAGCATCTGGCACGACCAGCGCGAAGCGGCCCTTGGCTTTCGGGGCGGAGTGTCAGGGACTGCTTGGTGGACGGAGTGTTAGCACATCGGGGAAAAGCACGATTCCTGGAGCGGGTGCATGCACGGTCTGGAGTGTGGTAAGGGAACCGGAGTCTCGCCCACAGAAGACTCAATTTAAGAAAGCCCGGCCAACGTGGGGCAATATTCAACGTGGAAAGCAGCTTCCAAGCTGGGAGCTCTTCTACCTAAACGTTTCGCAAAGCTTTCAGCCGGCAAGTCTTCCTCTAAATTCCCTTGGGCACGGCCTGAATTACACCTGTGCCCATCACACTGCTGCACGTAGACTTTTCAAAGCACATTTTAATTGATGCTAACGCCGTTTTGGTTCAGGTACGCAGACAGACTCCACGCTCCTTCACAGAGCAGGTCTGAAGCGTGTGTGGCAACCGGCAGCTGTCCTATGGACCGGACAGGCTGGCCTGTGGACATGGGACCAAAGGTCCCACATGGGGGTCTGCTCTGTGGGAGAGACTCCAGCTGGACTGTCTGACCATGAATGTTAGCCGGCACCCAGTGACCCCAAGGGTTTGACCCACGAGAGACAGAAAGGAGGACGTGACGGGAAAAAAACGGCACGGACACACACACAGGGCTTCCAGATACCATCCAGTAATTACCGTGTGACAGAGCCTATGGGTAGTGCTGTTTGATTGGGCTGGAATTATTGGTAAATTACATCTCTTTATAAGCACATATAAAAGGAGTGTTACTGAAAGTCGTAGGACAGCTTCCGGGGAGTCATGAACTCTTTCACTATCTCGTCTGTGACCTCCTTGCGCCTGGCCTGGTGCTCGGCGATCAAGGGCTGCAGAACCTCTATGAGCGTCTTCTTGAGCTCGCCAGTGAGCATGTCGCCGCCGGTGTAGTCCTGCCCGGAGGGAGACAGACCACAGTGACAGGCGGCTCACCTGCCTGGCCCCCCGCCTCCTCTGGGCGCCGGCCCACCCGCAGCACCCGCGCAGAGCCTGGCGCAGGGGTGGGGCCCGGAAGTGCAAAGACGTGCACCTGACCCGGTGCTTTTCTCCAAATGCCGGGGCCCTGCCTGCCGCGCAGCCCCGAGTCGCCGCCCCCGCCCTCCTCTCTGCAGGCCGCAGCTCCACGCGCCCCGGCCGGCCAGCAGCTCCCTCCCGGCCTCCCGCTCCTGCAGCTCCGGCACAGCGTCCCCCGTGCTGCGCAGCCTGCTCCGGACCGTTCACTACAACCAGCTCTGACGTGTTTGCACGCGGAGTCCTCGGTCAGGACCACCCGCTGGGAAGGTGCGAGGGCCGAGCGCCCGAGGCGAGGCTACGCGCACCGTCTGCTCTTCCTACTGCTGCTGAGAGGCCGCACCAGGGCCCTCGCCTCCCCCAGCCCAGCCCCGGGGCCCTGCCGCCACCGCAGCCACGCAAGGCCCCGCGCATTCGGTGCGGGCGGTGTTGGAACCGTGATTCTGTCCTGCGGGAGCTCCCTGGTCCATGGTGTCCGGCCAGGGAGACCGCTGTGGGTGGCAACCACAGTCCGCGCTCGGCTACGTGAACTGTCACCGGGCTTCCAGGCGCGTGGCTAAGAGCAGACAGACCTCCTCGCTTTTCACCTCATCTCAGCTGAGGGTCTGTTGCCAAGGCCCAGCCCCGAGGCTCTGACCACCCTAGGCTCGGCTGCCAGAAAGCCCGTCTCCCATGTCCCCCACGAGAGAGGCTGGACCCTGCAGCCTGCGGCCTCACCTTCCTGATCTGCTCGAGCTTGTCATCGTCCTCGAGGAAGAAGGTCAGGTACATGAAGGACACGTCCACGTCACAGTTGCCTCCGAACTGCCTGTGCTCCTCGACGGTGTCTCTGCCTCCAGAAAACGCATGCTTGTTGACCTGTGGCGGCCAGAGCACAGAGATGCAGCGGGGCCAGGCCGCCCGCGCGTGGAAGCCGGCTGGGAGCCGAGGGTGCAAGTCGGGCCAGGGGCTGCTTCTGCCCCGTCAGGTCTCTGGGCAGGAGGTTGGGGCTCACGGTCAGGAGGAGGAGCCTCATAAACTGCTCCTGCCTGCCCGGTGAGCCTGGGTCCGTGCCAATGCGGCCAACTGAAAGGGGGGGAGGTTAGCTGTGGATCCCCACCCCCACGAAAGACAGAACAGAGCTGGAATGTGGGTGGAGCATCCTCCAGGGACAGACAGACACAAGGTCCTTCGGGTAAGAGAGACAACCTGGGAAGGGGGGCTGCTGCCTTCGGCAGTGTGGAAGGGAGGACGGGAGCCCCCAGAATGGGGCTCGAAAGGGAGAGCAGAGCCCAGGAGACGCACAGGGGAGTCGGCACCGGCAGGCAGCCCCACCTGAAAGCATGCAGTCCCCAGAGCTGAAAAAAGACTCAGAAACTAGCACAGTGGTTTTGGAATCACTGAAGATCATCTTGGAGAAATCAGGGCCAAGAAGCCAGAGAAGGAAAGCCAACAAGGGACAAAGTCTCCTCAACCTTCTTCCCATGAGCACACGAGAGACCCACTATGTACAAATGTCACCCTATTTTTCTTTCCTGGGGAAAAGGGTGGGTAGAGCTGGCGGTGCCCACGTGGAGATGCTTACTCCCCTCCCAGGACCACACAGCAATTACTCCGGGACCCTGGGCAGGCAGCAGGCGGACGCCAGGGGCAGAGGCCGTCAGGTGGCAGGGAGTGGCACCCGCTCTGTGCCCTGGCAAAGGGGAAGCATGAACGGCTGCACGCTGGGGGTGGGCGGAGTAGCGGCAGTTACACAGTCATCTTCCCCCTCCTTCACGAAACAAAAGAGCAAGTTGCAGAACAGCATCAACGTGCGCAAGCTGCACCTACCACGTGGCGACAAAACAAACGGGAAGAGAAGGCACCAGGACGGGGTTCTCCTGAGCTCTGGTACCCTGGGCAGGCCTGAACAGGCCTCTTCCTGTGCTCAGCCTCGCAGGCCAAGCAAGGTCACTGCTGGGCCTCAGGGAAGACACTCCAGTGCCAGGAAGAAAGTCTTGAGAACAGAGCTTCCCAGGCTGTTTAAAGGGTTTAAAGGCTATCCAAGGGCCCCGGGACACTTCTTAGTCCTCGTCTGACAGCAAGATGAGGAAAGGTGTGTCTGCTGCATGTTTTCCAAGGTGCATGGGTACCGCTGCTGCCCACGCACTACCCCTCCCTGGGCAGGTCCCTCGCCCCACAATGGCGCGCAGATGGACTGGGAATGGTGGGCGTCAGAATGATCACATCACTTAGTCCCCAACAACCCAATGACCTCTATACTGCTTTCTCCACCTCACAGATGAAAACGGGGCGCAGTGTCAAGGACCTGCTGTATGTGACAGTGGATGGCAGAGCCAGGCTGACCAGTCTTCTGATAGTGGCTTAAGTTTGCCTGGTGTTGGACTGGCGGGTCCTCAGTGTGGCTGGGGCCTTGCTTATGGGAGACCAATAGCAAAATGGATCTGGGCTAGGACGGAAAGCAGCCTTGGTTGTGGGGACCACAATGCAGGGGCCAGGTCCAAAATGACAGAAGCAAGTAAGGTGTACCCAAGCCAGTATGATCTCGTGTAAAACGAAACTAGGCCTGGCGAGGATGTCTCGGTTGAGGGACAAGGGAGCTTGATTCAAGTGCCAAACTCCAAGAGCTGGCGCGCTCTGGCTGCTACAATCCAACGGCAGGTGAGCTGGCCTGCAGCCCTGGGGCACGGGGGGCCCCCTGAGCCCCCGCCCTGGGACCCAAAGCCAGCTCTGGGCAGGGGCGCTACAGGGATCTCATCATCAGAAATCCCAAGTGGGTAGCCGGGCTGGCAAACAGTGTTACAGACACTCGTCCCCGAAGACGAGGTTCCACGGCTGTCTGCAGGAGGGCCTGGTTTGGTGGGCTCTGGCAGGGCCCGTGTGAGAGCCTGGTGAAGGCTCCCGCTTCACAGAGGTCTCACCTGGACACCAAGGTCACTCGCCAATGGCAGTGAAGTGGCAGGGCACAGACAACCTGGGGTTCCTGACTCTAGGCCACGGGAGGGCCCATGCAATGGGGGAGCTGGGGTCCGGTCCTAACCCCCACACTCCCCAGCTGTGTGGAGGTAGGAAACTGCCTGGTCCCTCTAAGTCTTGATGTCCTTGCTTACAAGATGAACATGGCCTCCTGGTGGTTGGTAGGACTCAGTGAGATGACACAGGCGAGCACGTGGCAGTGCCCAGCACGCTGCTGCTGCTGTTTGCAGGGGGGCTGGGGCAGATGCCCCGCTCCAGCTGGTGTGAGGTGGATTCTGGACTGGAAGGTGGGCGTGGGGACTGACCCTGTCCTGCCACACAGGCTGCTCACAACTCTTGTGGCCTCTGCAGCTGTGTGCTTCCTGACCTCACACTTACTGCCCGCCCACCCTCGGGGCCTTTGCTTGTCCCTAAGTGAATGAAAAATGCTTTGGACCCAAAAATGACCTCCTTAAAGCAACTAAAAAAACCAAACAAAGTGCCTTCCCTCCTGGAGAGAAGAGGCGCACCCTCCCCCGCCTCCCACCCCCGCGTCTGGACTCCAGGCTTTGGAAGGTCCAGCCAGTAGTGAAAGGGCAAGAACAAGCCCCGAAAATAGCAGCTTCCAACAGACGGCGGCGGAGTCGGCGGGGCTGTTTCCTGGAAGAGGCTGTGGACATGATGGGTCCCCTCGCTGTCCGCTAGAACCCGCCTGGGACTCCGGAAGGGCCAGCACCAGCAGAGGGCTGCATCACACACCTCAGATACAGACTTCGTCACTCCTGCTGTGAAGTTCCCACCCACAAACACACACTAGATTCCAAACAAAATGTCAGGAGCTTCATGGGACAGGGAGGGGTTGTACGTGTACTGGCAGTTCAGGCCCTGTGAGCAGCAGAAGCAGGGCCCTGGGAAAGAAAAAAGCTCAAATAGATTCCTAATTCTCATTTCTTTGGTGACCTGACAAATATTTGCTGAGTGTCCGATGCATGCTGGGATGGACACGACTGTCCTGATGAAGGGCCCCCACCTATTCCCAGTCTCTGTGGGAACATGTGCCCCTAAGCCCCACCTTGGCCAGGCTGGTCATCCTCTCTGGCCCTCATCCCTCTAAAGCTGCTCCCCACTATCTCCCCATGAGAAATCAAGCCAGAAAACATAAAGCACCCGGTCCATCTACTGGACTACGGCTGCTGCCTGGAAATGTAGTGGAATACGTTCCATCGTTACAAAAACTGCCATGGGACGTCTGGGTGGCTTTGTCGCTTAAGCGTCTGCCTTAGCTCAGGTCATGATCTCAGGGTCCTGGGATCGAGCCTGCTTCTCCCTTTCTCTCTGTCACTCCTCCCACTCATGCTCTCTCTCACTCTCTTTCAAATAAATAAAATCCTAAAAAAAGAAAACTGCCAGGACTTTGCTTCCCAGAGCAGAGCACTGGTGAGAAAAGCAAAGAAGAAAAATCCAACATTTTGCCTAAAGGAAAGGACACAGAGTTAAGTTCAGCTGGTGTCTGGGCGCAGGGACAGGCCTCCTGGAGTTCGCAGGCAGTGGCTGTAACTGACCCTGGAAGCCAGCGCCGTGGCAGAGGACGCTGGAAGGACAGTCACGTGATGCGTGTGCGTCTTAGGCACGCCTGCTCTGTGTACACGGGCTGCCCCTCCGGCCCGGACAGTGCTCACCTTGGTCTTGATCTGCTTGGCGGTGTCCGTGAGGAAGATGGAGGAGTTGGGGTCGCTGGCGCTCATCTTGGTCTGGGCCCCCTGCAGCGCAGGGAAGAAGGTGGAGTGCAGCAGGGCTGGTTTAGGGTAGCCGATCCTGGGGGCGACGTCTCTTGTCATCCTGAAGTATGGATCCTGTGCGGGGAGAGGGGACTCTGAGACAGCTGGCAGAAATGGGCTGGCTGTCAGCCTGTGAGTACATCTGCGGCCTCCACGGGAAGCTGCCAGCTCCCAGTCAGCTTACAGGATTGTCCCCCGCCCAGCACCTTTTAAAACCTCCTTCCCCATCAAGGAGAGCAGCACCCCAGACCGATGGACGCCTCGCCCCGCCTGCTGACCTGGTCGATGGCACAGGGGATGAGGCACTGGATGTCCGTCCTGTCTCGGAAGATCTGAGGGAAGGAGTTGCTGAAGGAGGGGGCAGCCTGGATGGCGGGAAAGCTGATCTTCCCTGAAAAGCATAAACAAAGTATTTTTACACACGACATTGACTCCTGTTCTGGTTAATTCACCCGGCAAAAGGGATGAACACGAACAGGCATTCTCCCCTTCAGAGAAGTGACCATCACTCAAGAGACTCTGAAAGCACGGAACGGGAGGGAAGAGAGACGATCTCCAGTCCCAGTGCGGATCTCGCTCCGTTCTCTCAGCTTCCCTCCGCATTTCTGCTGTGACTGCACACTACCTACTTTTCCCTCACCTGGGTGGCTGCTAAGTGTTTCTGTCCCGTAAACGTGGCAGGGAGTGTTTCGCCCGTCTCTACCCACAGGCACATAGGTTGTTCCGCGCCTTTAATCGTATAAATTCTGATACCTGGAACCCAAAACTGTTTTCAGTACTTTGGACGTTGCTGTTAACATCGCTACTGCTATTTGCTCAGACCTGCACAAGGGGTCCAAGGGCACCGACCTTCATGCGACCTCTGACGAGCGGTGCTGGGCACGCTCACGCTGCCACCACCACCAGCGCCCTGCTCACAGAGCAGCGGTGGCCATTCCCTGCGTGTGGGTGCCAGGCTGTGCTCGGGGCCAACCCCGGGCCTGTCTGCTGCTCCCAACTCTATGAAAAAGTGCCATATGGCTCCCATCTTACAGACACGGACTTTCAGGCTCAGACTGTTGACACAGCCTGCCGCAGCTAATACACAGCAAGCAGGCGGCTGGGCCAGGATTCAAACCCGGGTGCTTCGCAGCACAGTGTGCAATTATGCATAGGTCTGTCTCTCGTTTGCCCAGTGCCGCCTTCCCTAAGACATCTTCCCAGGAAATGCTGGCCTTCCAAGGATAAAAACCCTTTCAAAAGCACAGGGTTTATGCCCCAATTGTCAGGAATGCATCTCACTGAAACATCAAAGGGTCTTGCTCATGTGAAAAGATTTCCAGTGAGGCTTCTCCATGGCATTTCTGCACTTGGCCCTGAAGGTCCCCTCACCGCCAGGGCCCCAGCTGGTGCCCCCTCCCAGCGGGGCAAACTCTCCCACGCGGCAACCACAGGCACACTTGGGGATGCTGTCCCGGGCTCGCGGCTGCTCGGCGTGGAGCCGTGTCGCAGAAACAAAACACGGAAGAGGATCAGGAGACCCACAAGTCTCAGGGATCAATTCTTAGCTTTAAAAGCTAAGGGTCTAGAAGGAGAAGGCTGATGTGTCTGACAGGCACGGAAGTACACGGAAAGGGACATGAGTGTGTGTGCAGGGGGCCGAGCCATGGAAGGACAGTGAGGGCGGGCAGGGTGGGCACCACAGGGCTTCTGGCCAAGTCCCTCCTCTTATTGGGGAAACGGAGGCTCTGGCCTCTACTAGAGGCGCCTGCATGGGCTTGGACCCCACGAGCAGGCAGAGGAACTCTGGTCATCCCCACCCTTCTCCTCCTTTCTTCTAAGCCTCTTAGTGGGTGACTGAGGGGCGACAGATGGTCTCCGGAAGTGCAGCATCAAGGCCTGGAAATGGGGCTGCAGGCATTGCTCCAGCTCCTCTGGTTCCCGGCAAAGACCTGCCCGTGGGGTCGCTGTGGGGAGGCGAGGGGCGAGGGATGCCACCTGACAGGCCGCCGGGCCCCGGGGCAGATGCCAGCGCTTCAGCCTGGGACACAGGCCTCGGCGAGCTCCTTACCGATGGAGTCACTGTCGGTGAAACCGAAAATGCCTTTCACTTGGTTGAAGGTAACGTGCTTCTGAATCTTCACCACGTTCTTGTAGAAGCCTGGGCTCATCCTGCAAAGACAACTGAGATCAAACCGCAGGCACAGAGGGTGGCGTCCTGCCGACGCCGAAGCAGTGGATGGTGAAACCTGAGCACGCGGGTGTGGGCCGAGGACACAGACCGGGCAGGATGGTGCCCAGAAGGCATCCTGAGGCAGAGCGGGCTACTGCAGGCCAAGCGGAGCTGCCAGGGAGGTGTGGAAACCAGTGCGAGACCGACATCGGATGCCCGGCGGATGAGGCAAGAACGCGCTCAGACTCAGGAACAGACGTGGAGCATTTAAACTCTGCCCGGAAAAAAACCAAAAGAAACAAAAAAAAAACCCCAACAACAAAAAACTCTGCCCGAGTCAGCGGTCAGGTGTGCTGCAGAGCTTCCAGTCTGGGAGCCCCGAGGGAGTCTTCCGTGAGACAGACTCTGTTCTGCATTGTGCTGCTAGAGAGTATCTGCAGAGAAACCAGTTGTCCAGCCACCATGGCCCTGTCCACCATGGGCAGCCATGCTGTCCGGGCAGGCTGACCCTGTGCCCAGCAACAGGGCTGGGCCACGGTGGCTGGTTCAAGCAACCGGATGCTCTCTCCTGGATGGTGAGGGATGTGGATATGAGGCCTGGAGCCATGGCAGCCATTCTGCTGCCAGAAGGACCTAGGCTAAGGATGAAGCAAATACAGGGCCGGGCAGAACCCAGAGGAACTTCTTACACAGCATCTCTAACATGCTCAGCAGCTCTACTCTCCACCCAACCAGGTGTCAGGCCCCACAAAAGAAGGGAAAAAGTGGGGGAGCTAATGCTTACTATGTGTTTGCATCACATGGCAGGAGCCGTGCTAAGTGCTGGACACAAGTTAACACCTCTCAACTCCCCCTTTGATGTAGCAGCCTCGCCTCCACTTTTCAGGGAAAGACTGAAGCTCTGAGAGGTTTAGGATCGGGGCACAGACCCAGCTAGCGAGTACATGAGCTGGGATCCAAACCCAGGGCTGTCCGGCCACAATGCCTATGCTTCTCTCACCACATCTCACAGTTTTGAAAGTTGAAGACTTTTGCCCCTAGATGGAGAACTCCTGAATGTCTTTGGACAGACAGTGGGGTGTGGGGCTGGGGTATCAGAAATCCAGAGGCATTGGCTGCCTGGGGTTGGGTCAGCCACGAGGCGGGGAGGACTGTAAAGGCAAAGGCTTCACACCTCCGTCTGTGTGGAGTTGAGCGGAGTCCCACTTGGGAGGGAGAGAGGGACTTTCACTTTAGCAGCCTGCTCAGTTTTGGCCCAGGGCGCTGGTCGGGGGTGGGAGGGTGGGGCTGTGTTACAGAGAGAGGACACACCAGGACCCTTACAATATGTGAAGTGCTCCCTGCAAAGATGCCTGCTTTGTGATCCTGCTGAGACAGGAACTATCTCCTGTCGGAGGGGTCCTGGGAGACCGAAGGAGGCCCCACACTGCTTACGCCTGGTGAGGACAAGCAGCTGTCTGCCACCCAGGGGAGAGGGCCACGGCAAACGCTCCATGCATCCTCAGGGAGAGGCAATGGCAAATTCTGGCAAATCAGCCAGTGGCCAACCTTCCTCCACCTGCGGTCACACTGTGCAAGACGGCCTCCAGCCCCCATGGGAGGGAGAGTCTGCAGCACCCCAGTGACAGGACTGTAGCCCTGTGGTGTCCGAGCAGTATTTCTGAGTAAGACAGCCCTGACCTTTCTTGGAAGGTGAGTTCCTTCTTTGCCAGCCAGTGCTCATGCTGTGCAGGCTGTAGGCTGTGAGGGCATCCAGGAGGGGCATCGGTTCCCTGGGCGCCTGGTGACCTTACACAGGACACCAGGGACAGGGTTTTAAAGCTGAACGTAATTTTAGATCGTATGTTTGCCAAGCACTCACCAGCTACTGCTCGAAGTCCACATTATCTGTAGTACCTCATCAAGTCCACATGACTCTGTTACAGGCACCAAGACCTCCTGACTGCAGGGTGAACCCCCCTTCCTTTGTCCTCACGGTACTCATTATCACCTGGTTGTCACCTGTTAACTGCCTGCTCCCGCGCCATGAGTAGCTAACCGGACACAGCTGCAGGATGACAGCCTTGCCAGCAGCGGTGTCCCCGGCACCAGTGTGGCCTCCTGACTGTGCGAATGAGCAGGCTGAGCCATCCCTCACGGCTCCCGGCAGGAAAGGCTCTCCGGGCCCACACTCAGGGCCAGAGATGCGTGTGGGGACAGGGTGTCTGGAGCCAGCTGGCCTGCTCTGGGCTTCTCGGCCTGCAGGGCCCTCACTGCTCCGCTCCTGCCCAAAGAGACGGTGGAGGCTGGCCTGGGTGTAGTTTCAGCTCCTGAAGACCAGGAAGGAGCTTTGTTAAATCAAAGCTCTAGATTTTGAGTTAAATTTCAAGATAAAAAAGAAGCTTAACTGTTAAAAACAAAACCCAAAACCTCCTGAAGGGAATAAGATGTTTGAAACAGGATTTAACTTTTAAAACTTCCCTCTTGACCTTAGGTTCAACCTAAGAGGTCTTTCCGGGAAGAGGCAGCACAGACCCTTTGGTTCACAGTTGTCTGGGCTTTCGTCTCCACTCTGAGCTCAGCAAGGGAGAGACGCTCCTGCCGAGCAAAGAGGAATAGGGCCACCCCTGACCCCGAGGATGAGAGAAATGAGAGGGGGTGGGGTGTGACACAACCATCTGTGCTTTACGGGGAGCGCTGGCTGGTGGGGGACCGAGGCTGTGAGGGGCTGCCATGGGAGGCAAGAGGCGGCACCAGAGGACACGGTGACTGGGCAGTTACCAGCTGGGCCCGGCCCTGAAAAGAGCAGCAGGACCCAGGGTGTGGCTATTCGATCGAGCAGGCGAATCAAGAATTCTTAAGGAATGAGGGCGAGAGAGAAAATAAAGCACCATGAAAATGATACTAACGATCACATCTAAGGTCTCAAACCCTATTTCGTGGACCAGGCTTGCTGCAACTCATGAGCACCAAAGAGATGTGCCAGGGCTCGACCTGGGTCTGTTTCCCTCCTTCGAAGATCATGTTTCCTCAAGGACACCACAGTGCCTCTATACCCACAGAGAAGGGATTTTAAAAATCTCACAGGTAAAATGAGAAAGTTAGGAACTCAGGTACTAGTTGGTGGAAAGACCAGACCTCTTACGAAGGCCGCTATTCCTGTGGCTATAAGCCACGCTCGGAGGCAGTCCCGTAGCGGGATGTTTGGGGGAAATGGTAGTGAGCAAGTTCCTTGCACTCCATGCGAACCCGGCCCCACCCGAGCTTCTACAGCACAGCACTCTGTCCTGGCCTGGTCGAGAGCCTGCGGGGATACGGCCACACCCCTCCCTAAGGACAAGTGCCTGGAGGCGGAGGGGAGGGAGCACTGCCTCTCAGGTGCTCAGGAAGTACCTGTGGAGTAGAACAATGTATTCTTATTGGGACACTTGACAGAGTCTTGTTTTTCTAACACAGTTCTTGGCAATCATTTGGGATGAAGACCTCGGAAATTTCAATTCAGGGGCGCCTGGGGGGCTCAGCAGGTCAAGCATCTGCCTTTGGCTCAGGTCATGATCCCAGGGTCCTGGGACTGAGTCCCACACTGGGCTCCCTGCTTCTCTCTCTACCTGTGCTCCCCCTGCTCATGCTTGCTTTCTTTTCTCTGACAAATAAATAAAATCTTAAAAAGTTTCGAGGATTTTCTGAATGCGTATTTTAGCTATGGAGTGGCTGACTTAAAGAACTGGACTGTGAGGGGACCGTGTACCAGCGAATCTTTTCTCTGTGAGGAAAAAGGGACGCCAAGGAAGAGAAAGACCCTCATTGGCCAACTGACCGTCCTTGGAGAGAAACTACAATTCTGTCTCAAGCTGGGGATGGAAACCTCAGCTGGTGAACGAGACCAAGAAACCACATCCTGACGTTTCACAAAGGAAGGAAAACATTCCCCAGATCTTAGGACCATTTCAGACGTGTCTGACTCTGCCGTGGCCGCTAGGAGCTGCCGTCTGCATCGGCTTTTCTCTCTAGAAGGCAGCCGGGGACTCTCTCCTTACCCCATGTAGTCCAGGTCAGAGAAGATGAAAGTCTTGTTGATGTCAAAGCCGCAGGCAATGATGTCCTTGGCGTTCTCTACAGCGTAGCCATACGCCTGGTCCAGGGTCAGGTCTTTCCACAGGTACTTCTCGTCATCCGTCATCTGGATGACCAAGGGCACGTTGAACACATCCTGCAGCCACCTACAAGACATGTGAAGGCGGCTGCCACCTCGTTTCCCCGGTGTGCATCTGAAAACGCGGTTCCTACTGAGAGTGTACGCAAAACTTTCTTGTCTACACAGTCACACAGTCTTACGTCGTGGAGCTGGACTACTACATTTACTTAACGCAGAAGGGCCTGCGCTCAGCTCTGTGCCAGCTGCTTTATGCTGGCCACCATTTTAGGAGGTAGGTATTATCACTCCCCTCCTGCAGACGTGGAAACGAAGGCTCAGGGAAGTGAATGCTACGGTCACAGGGACAGGGACAGGTGGAGACGGGCTGGCTGACTCCAAAGCCAGGCTTGCTCCATGACGCCACACTTTCTAACGTGACACCGGGAACAGTGTCACCAAGTCACAATAGCACCAGTCCCCTAGTACCTTAACAACACAGACTAGGACTGTCCTGTCACTCTGACATGGTTTGTAAGTACCATTCCAGATTCACTACTAAAAGGGACAAAAGGCATACAATTCAATACTTACTTTGTGAAGATAAACGGGATGAGATGACCTACATGCATTGCTTCAGAAGAGGGGCCCCTGCCTGTGTACAGATAAAATGGCTTCTTATTCTCATAGGCATCAAGAATTTGGTTCATATCTCTAAAGGAAAGAGGAGAAAAGGAAATGGTGTGATTTTTCTGAGAAACACTAAGGCGCTAATGCTCACTAGGAAAAGACAGAGAAAACACAACACAATGATTAGTTACCCTTGCTGCCTGTATTAGAAAAATGGCAGGAAACGTCTACTGACATGATGTGTTTCTCCTCTGATTGTTTAAAAAGTATAAGACACGCAGGTCTGGAATAAAAGCGGGATATGGTTGGGCAGCTAACGGAATCCCGCTGGAAACTTCAAATACCAATGTCCACATACCATCTGCTTTACGCCCGTTCCTGGGAATGACACCAAGCTGACACTACACAAATCCTTTAAGAACCCCCAGCCTGGAGACTCTGGAGACCCAGACTGGGAGACTTCGAGTTCCACACACTCCTGACTCAGGAATGGGAGTGAAGAGCTCCTGGGATTGTGGAGAGGCAGTCCCTAGCTGGAAATCTCCTCTGGGCTTCCTCAGGCAGGCTGGGGCCAAGTGTCTTCAGCTGGGGGTCGTTCTGGATTCATCTACTCTCCCCCAGGACTGACTGGGGTCGAGACAATGCACATGAAGGGTTTCCTTGTTGGGCATCAGAATCGCTGCTCATGTTACATCTACCCAGGTCATACCTTCAGAGATTCCGATTCAGTGGGCCTGGGGATGATGCCTGGGGATCTGTATTTTTAAAGAGCTCCCTCAGTGATCGCCAAGTTTGCCAGGGTGTGAAACCACTGCTCTAGGGTGTAAATGTTCTTTCTCAACAACGTGCCCCAAAATAAAAGAGGACCTTTCCAGGGGTTTCTAAAAAGTGACTCCTCCTCACACCCCTCACCAACGGTTAACAGTGCTCCTCTCTGGGCTCACGGGATGATGGTTTGTGTGTGTGTGTGTGTGTGTGTGTGCGTGCGTTTTTTTTTTTTACTTCCAGGCACCAATCATACACTACTTTTAAATAAGGAAAGAATTAAGAAAACTTAATTTTGGAAGAAAAGAGTCCTTCTCTGGTTTTTACAATTAACCAAATCTAACTTTTATGAGTTTATAGGAGAGAAGAAACCCCCAATTGAAAATAACCCACATGCCCCGCAACCGGTGAACAAAAAAACGGGGTGGATCTATTCAGCAGTCTTCAGCATCCCGCTCTTGTACCTACTCGTCAGGTATAAGAGGGAGGGAAGTACGAACACCTAACGCAACATGGCAGAACCTTGAACACATGAAGGTTGCCAGTGGTTGTGGTGCGAGGAGGGGGCCTGGAGGAGTGACTGCTCCTGGGGACGGGGTTTCTTCCTGGGGTGGTGAGAATGTTCTGGAATTAACAAGCGGTGGTGACTATTGCATAACCTTATGAATACACTAAAGGCCACTTTAAAAACGTGAATTGTATACTTTAAAAACGTGGATTACATCTTAATGAAGGTGAAAAGCTGTGAATATATTCCGTCCAGAAGGAGGGCTGAGCAGGGTCTGGAGTTTTCTGCACATGGAACCTGAAGAGTTCTGGCAGGCTGCTGCGTTCTGTCCTGTGTGTGCTCTCCCGTAGCCAAACATGCAGAGCAAGGAGAACAGAACCCGGCCACGGACCACAAAATGGGCTAACTGGTGGGTGGGTGAGGCAGGAACACTTCCAGAACCTGCCCACTTTCTGATAATTATCTGCACAGAATTTACAGTCCCGGGTAGGGATAGTCTCTTCCACGTACACTGTGCTAGTTTCTCTTTTGGTAACAGGGTTTAGGAGTGGGCCAGGACAATAGCAGGAAGGGGCATAGAACTTCAGGAAGCTACTGCTTATCGCGTGGGAAATGCTGAACTTGGATATGCTAATCTCTTTTGTCTTTATGACATTTTATGATATAGAGCACATAATCTGGCATAATCTCTTCTGCGGTGTATGTGACCTCCAACTGTGAAGGGAGCAGTTGATAAATGAATGAAGTAAGGGCCCAAGGGTGAAGGGACAGGGCATAAAGCCGGAGCCAGTTTTGGGCAGAAGGTGGACCCCAGTCTACAGATGGCAGCCACTGTCCCCACAGGAGCAGGCGGCTTAAGGGAAGAGCCTCCTGATCACATCTGCAATTCGAAGGACAGGAGGGCAGGAAGCCCCAACCTGTGTGAGAAGAAGATGCCTCTGCGCAGGAAGCGGTGTGGTTTCTGGCCCGTGGCTCGCTCTATCCGGTTTACCAGCTCCTTGTCAATTTTACTGCTTCCGAACCGAACTGGAAAAAGAAAATTGGAACAAAGGAGATATAGCCATGTTAGGTAGTGTGAGGTCTGGCGATCGGATATTACTGAAGGGGAAAAACTAGCGTATTGTGTACAATCTTGATGAACCCAGGCTCTTCAGTCTTTCTGCTCCCAGTCCCTTCTCTCAACCGAAAGTCAAATGTCTTTTACGGTAATAAGGAGAGTTAAGATCACAACCAGACAAACAGGAAACAAATTACAGAATAAAACGCTGTTTTCTGAGCACCTGGGTGGCTCAGCGGGTTAAAGCCTCTGCCTTCGGCTCAGGTCATGATCTCAGGGTCCTGGGATTGAGCCCCGCATCGGGCTCTCTGCTCAGCAGGGAGCCTGCTTTCCTCCTCTCTCTCTCTGCCTACTTGTGATCTGTCTGTCAAATAAGTAAATAAAATCTTTAAAACAACAACAACAACAACAACAAAACACTGTTTTCTCTGGGATTGGACTTTGATGGGAAACATATCCAGAATTCAGTCCGGCTAGCAACTTTTCATACTTCCCCTCCCCCAGTTGCTTATTAAGGTATAATCTGTTGATACTGACACTGTATTTTAGTATCCTTTAATTGTTGCACTGAATTACGTCTTCAAACGAATTTTCCCGCATTGACGGTCTGTATTTAAATTATGGAAAATGGCTTTCGACTTTGATAAAAACATGTCGGCAATGTTTCTTCACTGGTGATTACCAGTGATCTGAGTAAGGACTTCCCTGAGCAGAAAGCCCCGTGAGGCGGTGCTTGCCAGTGGCCACCTGCCCTCTGTAAGGAGTCACCCTTCTCAAGGTAACTTCCAGCTTTTCAGCTCTACAATTGGTATCACCAGAAGAGAGACTCTGACTTAGGTAATCCATTCCTGACTTTAGTCATTAAGTGAGAGGTGATTTATTTATTTATTTATTTTTAAAAATATTTAAATTAAGAAAATTTAAATTATTAAAAAAAATTTTTTTTTAAATTTTTTTATTTATTTGAAAGACAGAGATCACAAGTAGGCAGAGAGGCAGGCAGAGAGAGAGGAAGGGAAGCAGGCTCCCAGCTGAGCAGAGAGCCCGATGCGGGGCTTGATCCCAGGACCCTGAGATCATCATGACCTGAGCCGAAGGCAGAGGCTTTAACTCGCTGAGCCACCCAGGCGCCCTGTGAGAGGTGTTTTAAATGACTGCAAAGATGCCATTCTAATAGACCTTTCCCTCAAGTTCTAAATCGCTCAAAAAAAAGGGGAAAAAGCTTCTACTAAGCTCTCTACTATGGATTGTTATTCTGAACTCAGTTTTACATTGTTATTTCAGTTGAAAAGAATCCTTTGGGAATGTACTGCATGACCAAAAAATGTTAGGATCTATTTTTTTCTTGGCATTGCAGCTTGGCTGAGCTTATAATTCAAAATTAAAAACAAAAACACACCAGTGGGATCAACTCAAGGGAGTCACTTGTATAAGCTGGGGTTTCTCCCAGGACGTACCAATGAGCTTGTCATAGTCAATGCCCTTGGCGTTGTTCGTCTGGACTGTCCACGGGTCCACAAAATCCTCCTCAGCTTCTGCGGATCCCAGGCCACTATTGCTCTCAGGCGCTGGGTTCTCTGGAGGGCAGTCGGCCTTGTAGTCCTCCCCGACAGTGGCTTTGTAGCTCATTTTCAATGATAACAACATCTTCACTGCAGAATCGATTTCATCCTGGACAAAGGAAACGAGGATGAAGGCTCATAATACACCAGAGCTAACGTTCTGCCGAAGGGGACTGCTGTCACACGGCAGGCACCACGTAAAGGCCCTCACACGTGTTCCCTCCTTAGCCTCACAACACCCCTCGGAGGCAGGCACCACCATCACTGTGCTGTTCCAGCTGGAGACTCTGAGCCTCAGTGAGGTGAAGGAGCTTGCCGGTGGACATACAGCAAGTCGTGGTCCTAAATGTCTCTCATTTTTGTGCTGTTTTAGCGCTGTGGATCAGTACCGCAAATACTATGGGACAAACAGACATGGCACACACTGTTATTTATGACACACTGAATATACTCAAGATTTCTCAAATGCCACTGATGCTAGAGAATGTGTATGACAAGCTCCTTGGACTGAGTATAAGGAATTCTACATCGGACCTTGTTTTTATGTTTTACAGCTGAGATGAGTATTTGTGGAGGCTTAAATAATGCCACTGAGGACAGTACCAGCAACTCTAGACATCAGGGAAACAGAAAAAGGCAAGGAAAAACACAGGCTTTCAAGTCCTAAATTAAGGAGGGATGCAGTGAGAAACAGTTGTATTACTGTATTTTGGAGTCTTATCAAGCTGTCCAAAGTGTTTGCACACTGAGTGTTTAAAAATAAGCATTAAGAAAAACAAATGCAAAATTATATCCTTGGGTACTCTGGAAATCTGGTAGAGACCTCCTGCTCCAGAAGGCCACACGAGCCACCCACGAAGGCTGGCCCCTGGAAGAGGAGGCCTAATTAGGCAGATTAGTCATGTTGTGCCCCAAAGCTCTGCTCCTGTAACTGGCCTTGCTGGATTAGATCACAAACAAAGAATATACACAGGCCAATTTGCTTGGCAAAGGAAGTACAAACATTCCCATTCAGAGTGTACACATCATGTTCTATGAAGCGGACTTCCTAAGTGGAGAGATATATCACCAAACTCCATTCCGAGGGAACTGCTGCGTGAGGTACGGCCCGGGGCCACAGAGAACTATTGCCATGGGGCACTTCTGCAGACATAGATTTGTGTTTCAAACTCTGAAACTACCAGGAATTCGTTATTACAATGAATTAGAATTGTGGACTTCATAACTCCGTGGATATATCTCCTAGAAGAGATAGGATATCTGCCCAGGTGGGTTAGGTATGTTTTATTCACCTCATTTCTGCAGTGCCTAAGCTCAGTGCAACAAAATAAATGTTTAGCAAGCATGATTTATTGAATTATCCATGGGAAGAATTACCCTGCTCTGAAGGACACTTTAGTCAATACCCTTTTATCACTGCCTGTGTTGACATTTCATACTCTATCGGGTCTAACTCTGCTTGCAACTAGGAGGCTCTCTGAAAGTCAAACACCAGTGTCCCTGCTCAAGAACTGTTTGTAGTCTAGAATGTAATTTAAATGGACAGGCAAGTTTGTGATGACGTGGATGGAATTAGAGGGTATTATGCTTAGCAAAATAAGTCAATCAGAGAAAGACAATTATCATATGATCTCCCTGATATGAGGAAGTTGAGAGGCAACATGGGGGTCTTGGGGGGGGTAGGAAAGGAATAAATGAAACAAGATGGGATTGGGAGGGAGATAAACCGTAAGAGACTCTTAATCTCACACAACAAACTGAGGGTTGCTGGGGGGAGGGTAGGGGAGAGGGTGGTGGGGTTATGGACATTGGGGAGGGCGTGTGCTATGTTGAGTGCCGTGAAGTGTGTAAACCTGGCGATTCACAGACCTGTACCCCTGGGGCTAATAATACATTATATGTTAATTAAAAAATAAAAAATTATAATAAATAAGTAAATAAATGGACAGGCAAGCTTGCCTTTCTATTTTCTTGTTCTCAATTTAACATGGACCAGAACACGGAAACACAATTTAAAAGCTGATGTCCTGGCGGGAGGAAAACACAAAAGAAGACTACGTACAATCTGATTTTATCTAAAGTTCCAACACAGGGGAACTATCTATGGTGGAAGCCTAGGGTAGAGGACAGAGGCAGTGACTGAAGGGGCCTGAGGATGGCTTCTGGGTGCTGCTATCTTGTTTCCTGATCTGGACGCTGGTTACAAGTATGGTCATTTTGTGAAAATTCAGTATGCTGATTATGAGCTCCGTACCTTTCTGAATAAATGGTGCACTTCAATTTAAAAAGCTTACCTTGGGCATCTGGGTGGCTCAGTCGGTTAAGCATCTGCCTTCAGCTCAGGTCATGATCCCAGGGTCCTGGGACTAAGTCCTGCATCAGGCTCCCTGCTTAGCGGGGAGACTGTTTCTCCCTCTACCCCTCCTGCTCGTTATCTCTGCCCAGCCGCTGGCCCTCTCTCAAATAAATAAAATCTTAAAAAAGAAGTTTATGTAAACTAAAAGGATAAGAAAACAGACCTTGCTGTCTTGACCTCTGTGATCCAGAGTTATTTCTTGAGTTCTGCCTGAAGTGCTCATGCCCTTGGCCACTGTCTCCCCCCAGAGCCCCTAGATTCTGACCTACGCCCTCAGGAGACACCTTGGTATCCAGTGAGCCGTTAACTGAAGCTGGGGATCTTCACCCTTAGCATACGGGGCAGAAGAGAATGTTGAGGGCCACGGTTAAGACACAAGGCAGAGGCCGCTGGAGAAAGAGCCCAGGGTGCCCTCACTACATTGGTGTTCCCAAAGTGCTCTAGTATTTTGCATAAAGTGAATTTCTAAAATGGCAGGTGCTTCTGTTGTAACACCTTCCAGGGTCAAATTTACTTCTGAATTTTCATCATTTAAGTCTGACTTCATCGTGCAACCTCTGATCTCTCTTGTTTAGAGTCAGTGGATTGCACATGTCAAAGAAATAAACCGAACTGTGTTAAGTACTGCTTGTTTAGCAATGATTATAACTGCAGGTCACTAAGAACTGCTAGCTAAGAACTTATTAAATGTTACTCAAACTTAATGTTACATCAACACATATACCACTGCCAAGTTTCCATATATGGATTTAAAGGGCAAACGGTTAACATGTGGGTCCTTTATATATTTCGGATTTTTTTTTTTTTTTAAAGATTTTATTTATTCATTTGACAGACAGAGATCACAAGTAGGCAGGGGAGGGGGAAGCAGACTCCCCGCTGAGCAGAGGGCCCGATGCGGGGCTCAACCCCAGGACCCTGAGATCATGACCTGAGCCAAAGGCAGAGGCTTTAACCCGCTGAACCGCCCAGGTGCCCCTATTTATTTCAGATTTTTAAAAAATAACTTAGTCTCACCCACTGAGTCCTCCTAACTGGAGGATTCTTCCTGTGATTAGCTAACCCCTTCCCTGGGACATCACTTTCGGTACTATTTATCTCTTTTAATGTGTGATGGCTTATTTGGGGTCCAAAGAGTCAAAGTAAACTGCCCGGATGGGTGGGAGATGGTTGGCCCCCATCTGGGGAGGACCCGCAGGGCGGGGGCTTCTGAAAAGGACACAACAGGGGTTGGAAGCGACGGACGAGGAAGTAGTGGAAGCAGCTGAGTGACTGAAGAGCGGAGGCACAGCAGAACAAAAGGCAGTGCTCATGAGCATTAAAGACGCAGATGGCACGGATCACACTCCTGAAACGTCCTGCAGCAACAGCAGAGACCTTTCGGAAAAGCACCACCCCATGAGGACAAAGGCAACAAAAAGAGGACCCTAGCAACAAGATTGTGGAAGCCGCAGAGTTGCTGGACAACTGGCCATGGACCGGGAACAACAAATGTGAGGATGTCGTGGAAACACTGGAATTACGCTGCTGGGGCATGTGCTGGGGAAGGGAGGGTGAACGCCAGCTATGAATTAGGAGCACAGGTGGAAAGTCCTTTTAAGAAGCAGCTGCTTGGCTCTCCACCTCCCACCCCCTCCCTCCCCAAGCCAGAGGTCCTGTGCTGGGGAGGTCAAGTTACAAGTGTCTAGACTGGGGGCGTTCTGTACAGCAGGGGCAGGGGCAATGTACCGTGAGCAGGGAGGATGGAGGAGGGCCACACAGCCCAGCTCCTCTGTCCCGCAGAGAACATGAGGAAAACCATCATCAGGAGCTCAGAGATAAAAGGACACTCACTGTACCTAGGAAATGATAATGGGGTACAACGAGGAAAGGAACATCCAGAAAGAAATGAGCTCACAGAAGTTAAAAATGACAGGATAAATGAAAAAGAGTTTACTTAAAAAAAAAAAAAAGGCAACATAAGAGGTTGAAGAAATATATTTGAAAGAAGAAGAAAATAAAATGGAAAGCACAAGTCAAAACATAAAAGCAGAGGACCAGTTTCTGGGGGAAAAAAGTCCATAAATAAGGATAGAGAAGAGAAGAAATCAGAAACAACAGAGTTTCTCAGAATAAGGGTCAAAAGTTTCTAGTTGGAAAGGATGTACTCATCCCAAGAAATTTCAGAATACTGGAACAACGAGACCTTCCTACCAATTTCCAGAGAAAAACCAAGGGAACGGAATCTGGTTTCTCCACAGCGACCCTAGGAGCTCCGTGAAGACAGATCACTGGCTTCCGAATTCTGTGAGAAAATCACCTCTGCCCTGGAATTCCATACCCACTCTTGCTTATCAATCAGATACTACATAAAGATACTTTCAGACATGCAAGATCCCCCCCACATTATTTCTTTAGCACGATTTTTTTCAGAGACCATTGGAGGACTTGCTCTATCAAGACCGTACATAGACAAAGGAGTGCGACAGAGGATCGGAAAAACAGAGACCCAACAGGGAGGAGAGGGAAGGGCCCACGGGGGCAGTGTGGACGGTGAGAGGCAGCAGTCCATCTGAGGCGGTGGAGTCCTGAGAGAGACCTTCTGGAGGTAAGCTGCAGGCTGGCTGACGTTGAGCGCCTCGGGAGGAGACGCACCTCGCTGAAGGGGGCCCCGAGAGCTACGACCATTGCACACAGAAACATGGAGCCAACAGGAATGGAGATAAACAGCAACTCCGGGGCAGGAAAGGAAAAACACTCAAACTCAACTCAATGGGGTCAGCTGTCAGTAGCACTGATGCTGTCAGAAGAACATCCATGTTGACGTGGGGACATGCACGGGACACCAGAGGGATGGGGAGTGCTGACAGAAGTGTTAACTCCTCCTTTTCTACAGTTAAAGCCCCAAACTTGAATATCCACAAGGAGCAACATAAAAGTGTAATTCTGAGAAGCAGCTGAAAGGACTGAAAAGTTCGTTTCTGGGAACAGGCAGGGTGGATGACGGCTGATTTCAGGGGCTTTTCTTTAGACCACATGTATCAATAAAGGAGGAACTGAATTTAAAGTTAGAGCCAAAATACCTCAGTTACTGAGGGAACAGAGTCTTGGGAACAGTCTGTTCCGGGTAACATGACCCCAGACTTGGCCCAGATGCAAAGGCAGAGAATCCAATAAAATCACATACCTTCGACGCCTTTCCTGCTTTGAGGGACCTCACGAGCTCCCCCTGGGCAGCTATGCTGTTGAACAGTTCCAGCGGGGAGGCACACCCCTGCTCACCGTTGGGCACGTCCGCCATCTCCGGGACCTAGGTTGGCAGCTGGCTAGGAGGCTGGAAAAGCTGCTCCGTGGTCCAGACAAAACTGTGGGGAAGGGGGGACAAGGGCGTGGGGAGGGAGGGAGAGACTGATTAATGAGCTGCTGGAGTAGTTTCACCTTTCCTGCATCTACCCAGTCCTCCGTCTTTCCAAAAACGCTGGAGTTATGATAAAGGACATGGATCAAATAACATTAGTAAAAGTATGAGCAGAAATGCGCGGCCATGAGAAAGGAGAAAAGAGGACGAGCAGATACCGGCGATGAGGACTGCAGGAACTGCTGGGACTCACCAGCTGCAGGACTCCTCTGACTAGGACCAAGTGTGCTTCACCCAATGCCAAGCACCAAGGAAAGACTTGAGTTCGGACACGGAGCAAGTACTAAAGTGCTTTAACAAACCCAAGTTCACCGGAGCTAGAAACTTTTGGCGGAACTGCAATTTACTCTTTATCTTAATTGTATTGGGGATGAGTTCCACGCCCTTGCATCCAGAGCCAACAGGTCACTGAGCAAATGGCTTCTTTTGCAGGCCAGCTGCTCGTTCTCAGATTAAGCAAGGTCTGGGGTCAAGGACAGTCTTATCTAGGATGAGGGTAGGGCCTTATCTGTTCTGGGCTCCAAATGAGGAAAAGGATGTACAGCTTGTCCTTTCTACGTTCTACACGCTGTCTCACCTCACTGCAGCTCTCTGAAAAAGGCTACCCGCATCTTTTATTAATCGTAACTTTTAACCTTGGAAAAAGGTGGGACAGAGGGCAGGCCACCTGATGATGCTTTGCTGCAGAGACTGGCCAAATCATTCCCTCTTGGGTCAGTCACTTCCCCTTTCTGAGGGTCAGCTTCTCATCTAGAGAGTGGCACAGTCAGGAACCTTTTCAGCTACCTTAAGGGCTGCTGTGAGAAGAAAGGAGGAAAAACTAGAAGGTACTATGCTGTAAACTGCAAAGCAAGATATAGATCCATTATGAGTATTATCTGTTAGGGCTCCAGGGCTTGGCTGAACCCTAGCTCCATTTACAACTTACTGCTTGGCTCCAAATGAGGAAAGGACAGTGACAATGGGCTGGGCCAGGGCAGCCAACTGCCAGCACCTCCGCACCTGCTATATTTCTGAACACTGTATACACATCCATTCACTGACGCCTCATAGCAATCCTGAGAGAGAGATGTTCTTTCCATTTCACAGATGAGCACACTGAGGCACAGAGAGGTTACGAACATCCCTGAGACCACGCAACTGGAAGGGACAGGCAGCTACGGCTCACTCTCCAGCTTATTTAACTGCAAGGAGTCTCAGCCTCTCAACTGTAAAGTGGGGCCAGCGGTAACACTACCTGCAGGATTGATGTGTGGATGGGGTGATGGTGCAGGTCAACAGCCAGCCCAGCACGGCCCTCGCCCCGCAGGAGAGGTGCAATATGTGACTGTTTTGTGTCTTTAATTATTTAAATTTTTTTCTATGACCTCTATGAACCCAAACCCCAAACCTGAGGGGTCATTTTTCTCTTTCTTTCTTTTTTTTAAGTTAAACACTAGCCCCCATGTGGTGCTCGAACTTGTAACTCCGAGATCAAGAGTCACATGTGCCACCAACTTAGGCAGCCAGGTACCCTTAGGGTAATTTATTTTTATTATTTTGTTAAATGTTTAAGGAGGATGTAAATTTTAACTAGGCTAATCTTTATATAAATCAACTGATAGCGTAATACCGAAACCAGGATGAGACAGTCATCAGTTTCTTTTCCCTCCTGGCTGAGAATCACCTCGTTTCCCAGAAAAGGGAAGGGGGTGCTCTAACCACCTCAGACAGCACAGCCCAGCGTCAGGCCTGCAAGAAGGAATGCAGAAGCTCTGACGAGCGCTGGAGAGGAGAAACGCGCAGGCCCATGTCAAATTACAATCAAAGGGATGAGGATTCCTTCTAGCCACACAGGATCAAACATCACGTCCAGTTCCTTTACACACGATCCCAGATTCGTCCAGCCTTCAAAGTTGGATGGCTTGGTATACGCTCTGCGCTGGCAGATGAGAGGTGATGGCTCGGGGAAGTCAGAACAGGCCCCTGGGATCCCAGTGCCAGAGGAGCTAAGCCAGGATCTGACCCCCAAGCCCCGCTACACCATGTGTTCCCTCCGCATTTCGGCGGCTCCCCCTGCTCCGAACGTGGTAGTTTCCTGTCTCTGCGGGCGCACTGCAGGTGATCTCACTAATTCAGGCGTCAGCTCTTCTCTGCAGCCTTTCCTGGCTCCTGCAGCTGAGCTGATCGCTCCATCGTCACTGATCCCCAACACTCTGGTAGGAACTCGATGACAGCACTCGCGTGGCACTGAGTTATTCATGTCTTCCCCACCAGACAGTGAGAGCAAGCTCTGGGCTTTTTTACTCTTTTGTGTGCTTCTAATGCCTGGCACACAGCACTTTATCAAAACACATTTACAGAATTAATCGATCTCACAAGTCACCCAGTTCAATATTCTCCCTAAAGCTCATGTCCTCTCATGTTATCTTCACAAGTGCTTGTTCCAGTTTAAGGTAGATTTCCCCCACATGGACTTGACCCAGCCTCATTTTTACCATCTTGCCACTGTGCTGACCCTGCTAGGATTTGGGAAGGGCCAGGCTGACGGCATGGCGCCTTCTCCAGATCTCACACCTCAAGACTAGTTTCTTTAGCCTCTGCTAACGTCCACCTCCCATCCTCGTCGCTCTCTTTGGAATTCCCTTGGGTTTATCCCTGTCCTTCCCGAAGTGTGGTATCTGGCATGGAAGGCAACGGGTGACAGCAGTTAAGGTTCTGAAGTCTGAGTAGGACCAGAAGCATTAGTTTTAAAAATTCCTAAAGAAAGTACCAGGTAGAATCACTGGGTGTGCCCTGGACAGATAATCTCCCCCTGCTACAGAGCAGGTAAGAGGATCAGCTACATGAATGGGGCCTGCACCCAGGATCCATGTTATAGGGAAAAATATGTTTTCCCACAGCAGAATTCCCTTTGAGAAGCACATATGAGCTAAATCTGATAAGGGAACAGCAGATAAGCTCTGCCAGCTCTCAAGATCATGAGGTAAACACTGCGTGGGAACCACCGACATGATAAATCTTGTGTGCGGGTACGTATGTGTGTCTGATGCAACCTCTTGGAAGACAGGAAAACCGGCGCGCCTGGGTGGCTCAGTTGTTAGGTGTCTGCCTTTGGCTCAGGTCATGATCCTGGGGTCCTGGGATTGAGCCCCAAGTCCGGCTCCCTGCTCAGTGGGTGGCCTGCTTCTTCCTCTCCCACTCCCCCTCCTTCTGTTACCTCTCTCGATCTGTCAAACAAATAAATAAAATCTTAAAAAAAAAAGGAGAGAAGACTTTATTTATTTATTTGACAGAGACACAGCAAGAGAGGGAACACAAGCAGTGGGAGTGGGAGAGGGAGAAGCAGGTCCCCCGCCGAGCAGGGAACCTGACACGGTGCTCGATCCCAGGACTCCGGGATCATGACCTGAGCCGAAGGCAGACACCTAACAACTAAGCCGCCCAGGTGTTCCAATAAATAAAATCTTTTTAAAAAAAAAGACAGGGAAACAGAACAGTCTCTTAGTTCACACGCCCATCCATTTGCCCCCGTTTCGTGTGTCCACTCTCCTTTTTCCTCACATCTAGTCAACATGCTCCTTACTTCTTTGATAACTTTTATTTTTTATTTTTTTAAATTTATTTTTTATTTTTTTAAAGATTTTATTTGTTTATTTGACAGACAGAGATCACAAGTAGGCAGAGAGGCAGGCAGAGAGAGAGGAGGAAGCAGGTCCCCTGCTGAGCAGAGAGCCCGATGCGAGACTCGATCCCAGGACCCTGAGATCATGACCTGAGCCGAAGGCAGCGGCTTAACCCACTGAGCCACCCAGGCGCCCTATTTTTTTATTTTTTAAAAGATTTTATTTATTTATCAGAGAGAGAGAGGGAGAGAGAGCGGGCACAGGCAGACACAGTGGCAGCAGAGGCAGAGGGAGAAGCAGGCTCCCTGCCGAGCAAGGAGCCGGATGCGGGACTCGATCCCAGGACGCTGGGATCATGACCTGAGCTGAAGGCAGCTGCTTAACCAACTGAGCCACCCAGGCGTCCCCTTTGATAACTTTTAGAATGAAATTTAACTTCAGAGGTTTTTACCCCGGAGTTCAGCAGGTCTGAAATGACATCGACAGTCTGCATACACACTGGTATGTGCCTGGCTTTAAGCAGACTATCCAGGTTACTTTTTCAGAGGGGTCCGAGGTGCCAAAATTCTATGCATGACTGCCTTAGTGTTTATTGCATAAAGTGCAAATAGAGCTTTGAATCTGTTTGGAGCGTTGTTTTACCTACTTAACAAATAGTAAAATCTAAAACAAAGAAACAAAGGTATAATCTGCGGAGTTATCTACCATCTGCTCTGAAAGAAGTATTGGTCATTCGAGTAAAACCTCACAGTCCCTGGCAGATCCTAGGGCACCTTTAAAGAGAAAACTAAAAGACTCTTAAAAGTTAATTCTTGGGCGCCTGGGTTGCTCAGTTGGTTAAGCGACTGCCATTGGCTCAGGTCATGATCCCGGAGTCCGGAGATCGAGTCCTACATCGGGCTCCCTGCTCAACAAGGAGTCTGCTTCTCCCTCTGACCCTTCCCCTTCTCATGCTCTCTCTGTCTCTCTCATTCTCTCAAATAAAAAATAATTTAAATAAAAAAATTAAAAGAATTATCAATTCCTCTTTTTAAAGATCTTGAGTCTTGTGCTCATTTTGAAAGGTTCCCTTGTTCTGGAGGAATGTTCTGGAGGGATGACAGGCACTTGGAGGAAACCGGGTGGCTTCGGGACGGGGAATAGAAAGGAGAATCACAGAACTGTTTCACAGGACATGACCATGACCATGACCTGGACCATCCCGAAATCATCTCACCCATTAGAGTGCACTGATCAACGATTTGGGGAAAGGGGGCATAAACTTAGCCAATTCTAGAGTCGCCAGGAAGCGCATGGTTTCCGGATGCCTGGGATACCACCGGGAGGGGGCGGGTACCATCCTTCACACCCAGGCCCGCGAGTGTGCATGACCGAGGGAGTGTGCATGACCGAGGGAGTGTGCATGACCGAGGCTTCAGGCGGAGTCCGCAGGGGACAAGAAAACGACTTCTGCCCAGCAAGGCGTCCTCTGACACTTCGAACCTTGCGACAGGCTACCTTCACCTTTCCTTCGTCCAACACGGACAAGAGAGATCATCTCCCCCTTCAAATAATAAAGCGCGCGTTACCTTAAAATTAAGGCAGAGACGACGTGAATCTCTAGGAAGCCGGGCACAAGACAGTCTTGTGCATGGCGGCGGGAGCGCTCACACGTGGGGGCGCTGGGCGTGTAAGGGGGCCTCGCCGGCGGAGAGCCTGCGCGGGAGCCCACACCGACAGGCCGCGAGCGGAGCCCCGAGGCCAGACAGGCAACCCCTCCCCGCGGCGGCCGCGCCCCACCTGAACCTCGGGTCGGCCGGAGGACTACCACGCACGGCACCCTGATCCTCAGGGACACAAGCCCTCGCCCCCCACACCGAGGTCGTCAGCGCGCGGGGGAAAGCACGCAGGAGCCGCGAGCCCGGCGACGGCGGCTGTACGTACCCAGGACGGGGAGGCACGGCGGGCGGAGCGGCCACGGGTCACTCCCGGCAGCGGCGCGGCGCGGCGGAGACGGCCCCGAGCAGCCAGCGGCCTTCCTTTATAGTCTCCCCGCTTCTTTCAGTTTCCTTCCCAGACAAGGCTCTTGTTTTCCCGCTTACCCCACTCTTCAGCTACTCGCACGTAGGAATTTCCCGTAAACCACTCGGTTTCTCAGAAGCGCTCCAGATCCTTGACCGGCCTCCCTGGCGACACGGTCCAATCCGGGGCGGCGGGGCGGGGGCGCCGGGAGGAGAGCGGCCCTTAGCAGGTCGTTGCATCAGCCGCCCGCTACCCCAGACCGGCTCCGAGTGACCTCCCCACCCTGTGCCCGTCCCCACCCTCCGCATTCGTGCGGCGACTGTGTGTGTGCAGCCGCGGAAGGGCGACCGGGAGCTCCCCGCAGCTGCTCCCCGCGGCAGCCGCGCAGGGCAGAGCCCGAGCCCCGGGGTCGCGCGGCCCCAGCTCTCAGTCCCGGCGTGGGCGTTCTCCCGGGGCAGCACCTTGGCCAAGGGCCATCACCTCTCGGCTTCCTCCTCCACGAAATGGGCACGAGAAAGCCTCCTCCCTCGACCGCGGAGGGGACCGAGGGCGACGTTGCAGGCAAAGCCCGCAGCACAGGGCACGCACTCGTTCAACGTGGGGAGCTCTCGCCTCGGGGCCGGGGAAGAGGGAGGAGGCAAGCGAGGGTCGGTGCCGGTGGGGGTGGGCGACAGACGGGGACGCGGGCGCTCGGAGGCAGGGGGCAGCCTCCGCGCCCCTCGTGGTGCCGGAACCCGGCGGGAAGCGAGCCGGGCTCTGAGGAGGATACTCCGGGCCCTCGCCTGCAGGCGGCGGCGGCAGAGCCAGGTCATCCGGCGCCGCCCCGAACTCCCGCCCTCCCTCATCCCCTCACTTACCGGCCCACCCGGGCCCTTCCGTGCAGCCGGCTCAGCCACGGGCGGCCTCCTGGGCGTCCGTGGAAACTCCGTCCGGCCGGAACAACTTCCGGCCAGGCTGACCCATCATTGGCTGTTCGTGTGGGGGCGGGGCGGAGGCCGCGGATGATTGGCTGCAGGCTCCGGAACCAGCGGAACGCACCTTGGCTGCGGAGTGCAAGCCGGGCGGCCTCCCGCAGGACCGAGCGCTTCCGGTGCGTGTGGTGAGCGGCGGGCCCGTGGGCGGGAGGGGGCTGGGACCCGGCGGCGGCTTGGCGGCCGCGGCGGCGGCGGCGGCGGGGGCGGCTCGAGCGCTCCGCGCCCCTCAGGCAGGGCCTATTAGGGTCCCTCGCCGGTCCTTCTTCACCACTGCCCTTCCAGACGCTCGGCGCTCCGGGCCCTGCCTACTTCCACTCTTGACAGCTCGGCTAACTTCTATTCATCCTTCAAAACCCATCCCTGGTCGCCTCCTCTTTGCTGCCTTCTCAGTCTGTGGCCTGCGGCGCAGGCTCCGTGTTCTGTGTTTAATCTCTGTGCAGGCCAGACCCCACACAAGGCTGGGCACGGAGTAGGTAATCAGGCCGTGTTTGCCGAGCGAGAATCTTCTGTTCTTTTCCTCCGTGCCTCCCACCCCCCGGGCCGCGTTTCCCGAACACTTCCAGCCGCTGGGGGCAAACCGTGGACGAAACACGGGAAGTCCTGCCCTCCTGCGGCTGACCTGCCAGTGACTCGCAGTGCCACTCCCCCGCCCTGTGGCCCTTTTCCCGGCGCCTTGCCTCTCCCTCGTGGTTGGATGGATCCCCGCCCCCACCATGAAAAATTTCCCTTTTTGCCTCGTTTGCTTTAGAAACCTGAAAGGCAGCAAACACTTTCCCCCGGGAGTTTCCATTGTTCCAGTGGCTCCCGCTCTTGTCCGTTTTGGCCTGTTTTCCTTGAGTCACCTTGCGGTCTCCTCGCTGGCCCGGTTGGGTTAGTTCTGTTGGTTCCTTCTCCGGGGCTTCTCCAAACCACCTCTGCCCCCCTCCCTCCTCCTGAGCTTTGCTCCCGTCTCACCTTTCGTCTCGGGTCCCCGTGAGATGGCAACCCCAAGCCCACCGCCCTCTGTGCTCTGCTGTTTTGCTTCTCTCCCTAGGACTTCTCGCTGCCTGACACCCTGTATTTCCCTGAGTGCGGCCTGTCTGTCCCACTGCGTGTGGGCCTGGTGTGCACAGGCCACTGCTGACCTCGGGCTGGCTGCGGCGATCCTGGTGCCTGCGGCAGGGCTCGGTGAGTAGCCGGTCAGTGCTGGACAAGCCAGGTGCACACGGAGCAGGTCGTGTCCGCTGCCTTCGCACCCACCTCCCGCTTTCCTTCAGTCCTTCAGTCCTACTACTCTCTGATGTTTTGCCATAGACCTTTTTTTTTTTTTTGAAAGATTTATTTTATTTATTTAGAGAGAGAGAGAAAGAGAGTTTGCACAAGAGGAGGGGAGGGTCTCAAGCAGACTCCGTCCCGAGCGCAGAGCCCGACACGACCCTCGATTTTGCAACCCTGAGATCAGGACCTGAGCCGAGATCAAGTCGGATGCTTAACGGACTGAGCCACCCAGGCGCCCCACCGTGGACCTCTTTTTAAGTTCTGGCCACCGGCCGGCCCCTCTCTCGAGTCAGCCGCTGCAGACAGCTAGGTGGGGGGGAGCCTGGTGGGTTCCCTTGACAGGGAGGAGTGGCATGCTGTGGGGTGTGGGGCTATGTACAGGGGTTGAGGCAGGTGAGATGTCTGGGCAGGACCAGGCTAAGCAACAGAGAACAGAAATGCCAAGTTGTTTGCGGCGCACGGTCCGCTAGTTGATAATTAGTCCTTTATAGAAGTTTTATTTAGACGATGGCATTGTGTGTGGAAGGTGTTACCTGCCTAGATTAAGCTGCAGGAGAGGGGTGGTGGTGGGAGTTCTGGAGGAGGCTGAATGATGACACGATGTGTCTGGCCGTGGAGCCATTCAGGCGATGGGGAAAAGGTGTGGATGGGGCGAGGTGGTGGGATTGCTGGGGTTGTGAAACCCACCACCTAGGGAAAGAGCTGGGTGATAGACAGTCTGAGTGCCTTAACAGGGGACCCAGAGGGAATTTCTGGCGGTGCCCGGACCCCACATGTGGGAGGAGGGGCTCTGTGGGACACGAAGGTCGGGCATGGAGTAGGTAACCAGGACATGTTTGGGCATCTCGGAACCCGGCGTGTGGCTGTCGGTGCTGCTCCGTCGCGCCCTCTGCTGTCCGGGATGCGCTGTGCATCCTTGTTTTCCTCTGACGGTTCTTCCTCCTAAAAGCAGGGAATTGACCTCATCCAGACGGAAGCACTTCTTTTTTTTTTTTTTTTTTTTTTTAAAGATTTTATTTATTTATTTGACAGAGAGAGATCACAAGTAGATGGAGAGGCAGGCAGAGAGAGGGGGCGGGGGGGGGAAAGCAGGCTCCCTGCTGAGCAGAGAGCCCGATGCGGGACTTGATCCCAGGACCCTGAGATCATGACCTGAGCCGAAGGCAGCGGCTTAACCCACTGAGCCACCCAGGCGCCCAGACGTAAGCACTTCTTTCCAGAAACTAGTTGGCAGCAACTTACCGTGTGTGATGGTTCAGAATTTCAGGAAGAATTTTTTAGAAAGGGGCAGTTCGCTGCTGGGTGAGTGTGTGTTTGGAGTGAAACTGGCAGATTTGGACCTCACCTTTAGAATTGGGGGACTGGTGCCTCCAATGCCAGGGTCTGGTGTTGTGGGTGTGTCTCCCCGGCTGCCTTACGGTTGAGATGGGATATCTAGGCAGGGGTAACGGAGGCACTGGAGCCCCAGGAGGGGTGGTGAAGGTGAGGGTGACATGCTTTTCCCGTTTGGTGGGTTCTGGACATCTTTCCATTTTCGTATTTTGAGACCTACCCTCAAAGGCCCAAAGTAACCTTCCAAAAGGCATCTTTAAAACCCTGAATCTTTCTGTTAAATCCAGACTCTGTGTACTTAGGCCCTCTTTTTATGTCTTTCAATAAAGTTTTAGTCTTCTTCCTGTAGATCTTGCTAATTTTTGTTTAAATTTTTGCAGATATCCCATAATCTTCATTTAAAAAAATTAAATCTTCTAATTATGGTGGGTGTATAGAAAAACCCTCATTTTAAATTTTTATTTATTTATTTTTATTTATTTTTTAAAGATTTTGTTTATTTATTTGACAGACAGAAATCACAAGTAGGCAGAGAGGCAGGCAGAGAGGCAGGCAGAGAGAGAGGGAAGCAGGCTCCCTGCTGAGCAGAGAGCCTGATGCAGGGCTCGATCCCAGGACCCTAAGACCATGACCTGAGCCGAAGGCAGAGGCTTTAACCCAATGAGCCACCCAGGTGCCCCAAAAACCCTCATTTTTAAAATATGTTTATTCTTAGAGTTTTCCAATCATGCATTTGCTAGGGGGCATGTTTTCTTTTAATTACATGTGGTGGTAAATATTCTTACCTGCATGTATTCTGACACTTAACTTTGTTTGGTCTCAGGTAGTTTGTCCTCAAAGGACAGCAGAAAACTGTCTTCGATGGCTTCCTTGGTGGCTTATGATGACTCGGAGTCAGAGGCTGAGACCGAGCCCGTGGGAAGTTTTAATGCCACTGGCCAGATGAAAGACAGCTCTGATGGGCTCCAACCTCCTGGGCAGGATTTTGCATCCAAAGCCCCAGGTGTGACGGAAGGGACAGCACTGCCTGCAAAGCATGGTTCTTCTGAAGACCCAGCTGGCCATCGTCTCCCACTGGTTCGGCTCTGGAGAAGTGACCCAGGATCTTGTCCCAGCCAGAGGTTACAGTGGCCCAGGATGGAGTCTGATGTCTCCATCCCTGCAGATAAGCCTCCTCGACCTTCCCTGTGGACCAGCCACACTCCAGCTGGCCATGTGCCCCTGGCAGCTGCCCGCTTTAGGCCGGTGAAACTCTCCTGGGGGACTTACAGCTCCCCTGAACCATCCTTTTGTGCCCAAACCAAATCTGAAACCCCAGGTAAAAATGGTAGCTCTCTTCAGAGGACCAGGTGTGAGGACTGTATTGTGCCCTACACCCCGAAAAGACTACGACAGTCACAGGCATTAAGCACGGAAACTGGCAAGAGTAAAGAGGTGGCGGCCCAGGGTCCGTCTGCAGGGCGTGCCCCTGCCCCTCTCTGTGTGGCCCCCAGGGTGTCTGAGTTTATTCAGCCGTATTTGGACAGTCAGTATAAAGAAACCACGATTCCCAGGAAAGTGCTCTTCCACCTGAGAAGCCACAGGGGCCCCGTCAACAGCATTCAGTGGTGTCCAGTCTTTGCTAAGAGTCACATGCTTCTCTCGGCTTCCATGGATAAAACCTTCAAGGTAAGGCTTGAGTGATACCACCTTTTCAGGGACTTTTAGAAGTAAACTGCTCGGATGTTTTGTTCTTCGCAGCAGTGAGGTAGGGGTGCTGAACATCTCTGGGAATCCTGTAATTCCCCCTGTTGCATTCGGGAGTGGGTTCTCGGTGGCCCACCCTGGACTGTCGGTCCATTCTCTGCCCTCCACGCTGATGCTGCCTTGCTTAGGCCACCACAGAATGCTAGTCCTTAGCCCTCGTGGGGACACTGAGGCCCTGCAGACACACTGGCGCCCTGGGGGATGAGGTCGCTGAATGAGGGCAGTCAGAGGGGGAGGAAAGCAGGCTCAGGGCAAGTCCTGGGCCTCTTGTGAGCCGCATGGAATGTTCAGCATGCCAGTTAGGTGCTGGGCTCTGTGTTGGACGCCAGGGGAACAGAGGTAGACAGATTGGTCCCTGGCTTCGGGGCATGTGGTGTTGTAGGGCCATGGACAAGTGGAGAGGCCCTCACAGCCCTGGGCTCAGGAGTGTGAGGACTAGACTCCCACTGGGACACAAGTGCTCTGTGAACCCACTGGGAGGGACAGCAGCCCAGTCTGGGAGGGCTTGGTGAACACTTCCAGGAGCAGGGGAAGGTTCACTTGGTGGAGGGGGTGAGACGGGGCAGAAGGATGTTCTTGGCCATAAAAGTCTTGGGGGCCTGTTGGCTGGAGGGGTGGGGTGTGCAGTGAGGGGCCCAAGGCTGCGGAAG